CAGCACAGTTTACCGAGCTTTTACATTTAACATTTTCCTAAATTGTGTAGGCACGTGCCTACTATTCTACCATGCGCGCGTGTGTGTGTGTGGGGGGGGGGGGGGTATTCAACTCTTTTAATGATGATCTATCTGTTTAAAGAGATGACAGGCTGAAAAGGGGGGGGGGGTATGGGGCTAGAAAAACTTATTTTATCACTTTTATAAATATCTTGCTTATTTTCAAAGAATTGTGTATACTAGTATGCGGTGGGTTGAAAGGACATAATTTTAAACTGTTAAAGCTCTCTTACTTTGCAACATGTATAGACAGATACGATGATTTGGTGAGGAGATTTTGATCATAATGGGAAGAACCCTTTAGCTATGTTAATGAAGAGGAATGTGAATATATTGCTTTGAGCAGGTAACGTATTAAGTTTTGATTCTCACTAAAGTTCTTCTTTTCTCTATTTGTACTTAGAATAACGCCTGCAAACAGTGATCCTCTCATATGGATATAGTAATTCAGTACATGAAATCAACTAGAGCACTTTGCTAGAGTGCAAGAAGGACATAGAGTACCACTTGCCTGTTACAGTAGACCAATCCAGATACAACAAGACGTTACCAAGTGAGCGGTAGTGCACCCTAAGGAGTCGGGATAATCTCGTTTTAGTCGTAATCTTGCACAGCATTGCAAGTAAATTTGCTCTCCCAAATCTGGTGGTACAGGTGGAGTAGAGTTCACCTATTTATGTGACTTAGGCATAAATAGGGTCAGATACCCATCAGAACTGGTTTATTGCAGCGACATCATGAGTTCTTGAGATCTAATGCTGAAGATATTAAATGACCGTATTGTTATCAGTGTTTCTTGCAGACGTTTTTCTCCGGGGGGTGGGGGAATTTTCTCATGGGCGGACAACATTTTACGGGCGCACTGGTAAAAGTTTTTGTTTTCTATAAAGATTCCATTTCGTTCAATGGAGAGCGGTAGACTTTCTTCGAAGAGATGCCTGAAAGAAACTCTGATTGTTATATCTATGGTTGTGTTTGTCTGACAATTAAAGCGTGTAATTTCGCCAATGTAAAAAGTTGCCTAAAACTTTCCCCATTTAGAAACTACTGACGACAGCAATGCGAAGCACAAATTACAAATAGTTTATTCTTAGGTGTGCGAAATATTTAAAGTAATACATTAAATCTACTTAATTTTTTTAAACAGATATATCCTGTTGTGTTGACGAGAAGCTAAAAAGGGTTCTTCAAAAATGGTACCAGGTAGCCTATAGTTTAATTTCTACAAATAGATTTTGAAAATTAAATTATAATGTTTATAATGTACTTGCTTAATCCTCGTCACTCCCTGTGGAGTAAAGGGCAGCAACAAATCTTCGCCATTCCACTTTAATTCATGCCAGGTCTTGCCAGTAGCCTGCACTTCTTCCATCTCTCTCCTCCATGCTCCCACTTTATTATTTAACTGCTTCGAATCAAAGTGACCACATCAGGCTCCTAAGCGTTAGTGATCATCCGTATATGTTTCCAACTTGTGTTTTAAAAGATGTTAGTGCTGTGATTACCATAGTGTTACTTTAAGGATACATGCTTAACCCACACCAGTGGTTCCCATACAGAGCAGTATCGCTACCAGAGAATGGGAATGCTAGGGTTGGTGTTTTGGTTAATAGAAAAATGTATGACAGTTCAGAAACGTTTGCTCTAAGAACAGCATCAACGACAACAGATTGTCGACTGCGGAAGAGAACCTTAGGCCGCTAAATCATGAATACTTTCTGTGAATGCGAATCGCCGCCTTTTTATATAAAACTATAAAAATTAACAGCTTAGTGGGCAAGAGGAAAAGAGTAGGCGATGAATATATATATATATATATATATATATATATATATATATATATATATATATATATATATATATATATATATATATATATATATATATATATATATATATATATATATATATATATATATATATATATATATATATATATATATATATATATATATATATATATACATATATATATATTCAAATATGTATGTAAGTAAAATTACTACTTCAATTTAACGGAAATTATTCCAAATTTGACAGAAGGCAGAGAATTTGATCTTTTATTTACATGTGAAATTTCATTTAACTATCTGAAATAGTACTCAAGTTATAGGCTTTTTGAAACATTGACAGTAGAAAAAGTTTCACTTCCGTTTATCGGAAATCGCTCAAAAATTGATACGTATCGACGATTTTGAAATAATACTTACATATTAAATGTTATCAACTTAGCTTTAACGGTACTCAAGTTATAGTGTTAACAGACACACACAGACACATAATCAGATAAACACACACACATACACAAACACACAGACATACGTACAAGATTGCAAAACTATGCTTTTCCCACTCAGGGATGTGTAAAACATCGAGATTTGCAAAAATCTCTAATTATTTTTTTGCACGATTACAAGACTCTCTTTATACTTCGTATATAGATCTACGAGAATGTAAAAATCAAGCATTTTTTCCGCTTCAGTTATTAATGAACTGTAATTTTTAACTCCCAATAGTAAAAGAGAAATCTTGTTTTATTAAATAAAAGTAAATAAGTAATAAAAGTAATAAGTAAAATAAACCGAGAGTGATCTCCCCTAAACTTTCTCGAATATTCTAATACATCACAATTGGGATCGCAATTCGGAATATAGACATGATTTTTGTTTACTTAAACTTTTAAAAATAGAGAAAAATCTAGTAGAAAACAGAATTATTAGTACTTAATAAATTTACATGCGTTTTTTGAGAAATCGGAAAAAGCGTAAATTAGTACTTCCGTTCAACAGAAATTATTCAAAACTTGACAGAAAGTAGAGAATTAGATTTTCTACTTACAAGTAAAATTTCATTTATCTATCTGAAATAGTACTCAAGTTATAGGCTTTTGAAAAATTCAAAGTAGAAAAAGTACCACTTCCGTTTATCGGAAATCGCTCAAAAGTTGATCAGGATCTACGATTTTGATAAAACACTTACATATGAAATTTCATCAATCTAGCTGTAACGTTACTTAAAATATTGTGTTTACACACACACAGACAGACACACAGACATACGGACAAGATTGCAAAATTATGTTTTTCCGTATCAGTGAGGTGTAAAACGTCGAGATTTGTAAAAATCTCGATTTTTTTTTTTTTTTTGCACAATTACAAGACTTTCTCTATACTTCGTATATACTAGAAAGTAAAAAAGCTTACGTAGTTTCTGTCTATTGAATGGTTTTTTAAATGGATTTAGAAGGTTTAGTAAAAATGTTATGAAATATTACACGATCTTGCGTAATTCGAGTTTTACACATGCAGTGTTTCTTTCAGACTTTTTTCTCTGGGAGGGAAGGGGGAGGGGGCACTTGATATTATCGAGGGGGAGGGGGGCGGGTGGCGGACTAAATTTTCCGGGGTGGCGAACACTTGTAAAAGTATATATTTTCTATATAAATTTCATTTCAGGCGGACATCCATATTGCAACAGACCACCTTGCATGAATGGTGTTGGGCGTTCGTATGGATGCATGTTTAATGGATGCATTCCAGGTAATATATCGGGCAATCTGCTGAGTTTTGAGAATTATAATAGGCCTAAAATTTCTCCAATATTCTTACATAAAACAACATGAGATGGAAACACGGGATACAGACATGATTGTTCATCCATTTTAATACTTTATTTTTTAAAATTAGAATAAAATCTCTAGAAAAAAGAATTGCACACCAAGTGAACGCCAAATAAAATGTGCATAATATTGCAGAATTATTATTAGTAGGCTTACTTTATAAATTCACAAGCGTTTTTGTGAAAACGGAAATAGCAGCAAAAGTTACTACTTCCGTTCAACGGAAATTATTCCAAATTTAACAGAAGGCAGAGAATTTCAACTTTTACTTACATGTGAAATTTCATTTATCTATCTGAAATAGTACTAAAGTTATAGATTTTTGAAAAATTTAAAGTAGAAAACGTTACGCTTCCGGTTATCGGAAATTGCTGAAATGTTTATACGGATCTGCGATTTTGATATAATACTTATATTTGAAATTTCATCAACTTAGCTGTAACGGTGCTCAAGTTATCGTGTTTACAGACACACACACACACAGACGAACAGACACACACACATACACAACACACTTACACACACACACAGACATACGGACAAGATTGCAAAGCTATGTTTTTTTCGACTCAGAGAGGTGTAAAACGTCGAGATTTACAAACACAAATTTTTTTGCACTTCCCTCTTCTTCGTATATACCTGAAAATAAAAATCAAGCACTATTTCCATTTCAGTTATTAATGAACTGAAATTATTTACTTGCAATAGTAAGAGAGAAACCTAGTTTTATTTTAAAGTAAAAAAAAACTTGAGGTAGTTTCTGTCTATTACATGGTTTTCTAAATGGATTCTAAAAGATTAGTCAAAAATTTTATGAAATATTACACGATCTTACGTAATTCGAATTTACACATATGAGCGGGGGATGGGGGGGGGGGTGGGAGAAGGGCACTTGATATTTTCGAGGGTGGCGGGTGGCGGACTAAATTTTCCGAGGTGGCGAACACTTGTAAAAGCATATATTTTCTATATAAATTCCATTTCAGGCGGACGTCCATATTGCAACAGACCACCGTGCATGGATGCTATTGGACGTTCGTATGGATGCTTGTTTGACGGTCGCATTCCAGGTAATACATCGGACAATCTGCTGAGTTTTAAGAAATATATAAGGCCTTAACTTTCTCGAATATTCGAGTTTTACACATGCAGTGTTTCTTTTAGCCTTTTTTCTCTGGAGGGGGGGGGGGGGGGGGCATTTGATATCTTTTTTTTTGGTTGCAGACAAAATTGTCCGGGGCGTCGAACACTGGCAAAAGTATATATTTTCTATATAAATTCCATTTCAGGCGGACGTCCATATTGTAAAAGACCACCATGCATGAGTGTTGTTGGAGGTCCTAATGGCTGCTGCATGTTTGACAGTTCCAAAGCTTTTGATGCATCGGCTGATCTGCTGTGTTGTGAAAAATGTAAACAGCCAACTGGGAGACCAACCAATACACTTGGTGACTACTGTAGCTGTGATTGCTGTAGCTGTGATTGTTATTGCTGTGATACATATAGCTGTGATTACTGTAGCTGTCATTGATATAGTTCTGTAAGTCACGAATCTGAGTGCGGCAAGCAGCCAGAAAATCTTGCAAACTATTTTCCCCATCTAAATTTACACGTACGGGAGTGAGGTAAAGCTTAGATTGACATTATTAGATGTTCACAACATTAGAAGAAATCAATCGAATCAATTGCCTCCTATTTTTCTTTCCATGTAGAAACGCAAGGTGTAACGGAGGATCGTGGAAAGAACACTTCATTGGACCGGCATCTCGACGAAAGCTCTTCCTCATCATCAAATGAAAGTTTATTTAAGGACCTCTCGGGTAGTGTTTAAATATTTGATTAAACACCTTTTACATGTCACACTATTTATCTACTGATATTAATCAAGAGTGGACAAAATATCCACCTTAATTTTTGTGGCATCTTTAACTATCGTCTTACTCCTTTTTTTTAAATGACTTGAGCCTATTTTACAAGAGCCAATAAGTCGGGGCCACTTTGATTGGGCCACTTTGACGGTGCCATTTTGACCGGGTCGTTTTGACGGGGGTCGATTTGACGGGGTCATATTATCGGGGCCGTTTTGATGAGGCCAATTTGTCCCGGGCCATTCTGACAGGACACCATTTATATATATATATATATATATATATATATATATATATATATATATATATATATATATATATATATATATATATATATATATATATATATATGCATTATTACACGAAGACGTTATCTGTTGTTAGTACTTTATAAATTCACATGCGTTTTTGAGAAATCAGAAATAGCAAAAACTACTACTTCCGGTCAACGGAAGTTACTCAAAATGTGATGTAAGGAACTGAATGTGATCATTAAAGTACATGTGAAATTTGAAACAATACTCAAGTTATAGCCTTTTGAAAAATTAGAAAAATTCCATTTCAGGCGGACGTCCATATTGTAACAGACCACCATGCATGAGGGCTGTTGGAGGTCTTAATGGCTGCTGCATGTTTGACAGTTCCAAAGCTTTTGCTACATCGGCTGATCTGCTGTGTTGTGAAAAATGTAAAAAGCCAACTGGGAGACCAACCAATACACTTGGTGACTACTGTAGCTGTGATTGCTGTAGCTGTGAATGATGTAGCTGTGATCGATGTAGCTGTGCTTGATGTAGCTGTGATTGCTGTAACTGTGAATGATGTAGCTGTGATTGATGTAGCTGTGATTGATGTAGCTGCGATTGATGTAGCTGTGATTGATAAAGCTGTGATTGATGTAGCTGTGATTGATATAGCTGTGATTAATGTAGCTGTGATTGATGAAGCTGTGATTGATGTAGCTGTGATTGATATAGCTGTGATTACTGTAGCTGTGATTGGTGTAGCTTTGATTGTTGTTTCTGTCATACATATAGCTTTGATTACTGTAGCTGTCAGTGATGTAGCTGTCATTGATGTAGCTGTCATTAATGTAGCTGTCATTGGTGTAGATGTCATTGAAGTAGCTGTCATTGATGTAGTTGTCATTTATTTAGTTCTGTAAGTCACGAATCTTAGTGCGGCAAGCAGCCAGAAAATCTTGCAAACTATTTTCCCCATCTAAATGTACACGTATGGGAGTAAGGTAAAGCATAGATTGACATTATTAGATGTTCACAACATTAAAAGTGACCAATTTAATCAATTTCCTTCTTTTTTCTTTCCATGCAGTAAAGTTCGGTGTATCGGAGGATCGTGAAAAGACCATTGCAATTGACCGGCAGTTCGACGTAAGCTCTGCCTCATCATCAAATGAATGTTTATTCAAGAATCTTTCAGGTAGGGTTTAAATATTTGATTACACAACTTTGACATTTTACATAATAGTTTTACTCATATGAACCGAGAGAGGACAAACTTTTCACCGTAATTTTTGTGACATCCTTAACTATCGTCTAACTCCTGTTTTTAAAATAATCGTCACTGTTATTAAAATAAATGTGGTTATACAATATATATATATATATATATATATATATATATATATATATATATATATATATATATATATATATATATATATATATATATATATATATATATATAAATATGGGGGAAAAAAAATCAATTTCACACGGGCGGCGTCACGGCAGGGTGCGATTTGGCGCCCTGGATATCGCGGGGACGGTCAAGCTAATATCTATCTAATACTACTAAAAGTCAAGTTTGTTTACATGTTTGAATATTTATTTTTTTGTTTGTTTGTCCGATCGAGTATTCTGATATGTTCGACTCTATCTGGAGAGCTGTAAAATAGTATGTAGGTAGAGAATAATTTTTTAATGCAGACAGACTGTTAATCACAAATGTATTTAAAGACGTTAATTAATTTATTGATTTATTCATAGGTAGATCAACCCATTTTTTTTTAAAATGTTAAAACATTGACTAAACTTTGTGGGAATAGTGACGTCCCTTGATGTGTTTACTTTTTGGTACAATAAAAATGGCGGACTCCATCATAGACTTTGTGGCCCATTCAAAAGTTTAACGCGTTACAAAGCTAATTTTCTGCCGGCTATAACTTAAACAATACGTCCGTTTGCTGTATTTATTACGTTCCAACACTTATATCAATTTTAAACTGTCTTTTTTCATTTAGTTTTACAATAAATTTCTCTAGATCTAAAGATCAGCTGTCAAAGGAAAGTTATGAATCTAGAATCTAGCCTAGGGCAGGGCCTAGATTCTAGATCTAGATCTAGGTCACTAGACTCAATGTAAATTCTAGATCTAGACTTAATGTAAATTCTACATCTAGAATCTATTTCGGGCCTTAATTATTTTATATAAATCTTTGTTTAGCTTCAATGATCATCTAATTCGAGAATACATGGGATTTTTTTTGTTATCTAGGTTCTATAACTAGATATAGTAGGATTACTCACTAACTTGGAGGCGTGGTCGGCTGCTAACAACAATATGGCGTACGGACCGGACGCATGACTTCCGACCATTTTTAGGCCATGTTTACCACGAGCAAAATGGCGGGTGTTCACATTATTTAAACATGGTATAGGTGGCCAGGGCTAGATATGCCAGAAAAGCATTTTAAATTTTGCTTTGGAGAATGAAGGCTAAATTTTAAAGTCAGTGTCATAAACATTAATAGAACTTTTTTTTTTTTACGTTTTCAATTATTTTTTCTTAAGCCCTATATGTGAATGATAAGGTTGACTATCAGGACCTCGCGGGGCACAGGGCAGGTGAAGTAGGGTTCATCTGTTTCTTTGTCCTAAGCAAATGAAGGTATAGTGTGGTCAGAGACATGCTCGGCTGGAATCGTTTTTGTTGTCTGAGACCTGGCGGGACACTGGGCAGGTGAAGTAGAGTTGAGTAGGTCACCTGTGACGTCAGTATATGAAGGGATAGTCCGAAAACGTTGTTTTCGGTGTTTTTAAAAGATAAAAAACATATTTTTGAATGTGGGGTCTGTTTTTTGTGACGATAAGTGACACTGCAGTAGCGTAGCGAGGAGGGGGGGGGGAGAAGGGGGAGAAGGGGAGGCGGGGGAAGGGGGGGTGGGGGGGGGGACATATGTTGGGGCGCCAAAATGGTTTGGAAAAATAAATTGAAAGGTTGAGGGGGGTTCAAATGGAAAGTTTGAGTGGGGGAGGGAGAACATCAAAAGTTTGAGGGGGGGGGGTTCAAATAAAAAAGTTTGTCCCCGGGCGCCGGGAAGGGTCGCTATGCCTCTGAGTGACAGACGTGATGTTTTTTGATGGATGACCCCGAAACCCACAGTTATCCAACGGATGACGGGTATTCTAGTCTATATACTACTAAAAGTCAAGTTTGAATATTTATTTTTTTGTTTGTTTGTCCGATCGAGTATTGTGATATGTTCGACTCTATCTGGAGAGCTGTAAAATAGTATGTAGGTAGAGAATAATTTTTTAATGCAGAGAGACTGTTAATCACAAATTTATTTAAAGACGTTAATTAATTGATTGATTTATTCATACGTAGAGTAAACCATTTTTTAAAAAAATGTTAAAACATTGACTAAACTTTGTGGGAATAGTGACGTCACAGGTTTTTGTTTACTCTTTAGTACAATAAAATGGCGGCGTCTATCGAAGAAAATTGTGTTCCCATTCAAAAGTTTAACGCGTTCTAAATCTAATTTTCTGTCGTCATAACTTAAACAATACGTCCGTTTGCTGTATTTATTACGTTCCAACACTTATATCAATTTTCAACTGTCTTTTTCATTTAGTTTTACGATAAATTTCTCTAGATCTAAAGATCAGCTGTCGAAGGAAAGTTATGAATCTAGCCTAGATTTAGATCTAGCCTAGATCTAGGTCACTAGACTCAATGTAAATTCTAGATCTAGACTTAATGTAAATTCTACATCTAGAATCTATTTCAGGCCTTAATACATCTAGAATCTATTTCAGGCCTTAATTATTTTATATAAATCTTTGTTTGGCTAATTTAAGATAAAATTTAATTTGAAAGTTACTAATACTAGACTTAGATCTAGATCTATTCGCGTAAATCAAGTTGCATCAAAGTATAGTATAAAAATTCATTTGTGACGTCACGAGTAAATAGCTAAGTTGGTAGCGTATTCCGCTCTCATGCGGGTGGCACAGGTTCTAGACCAATATGTCAATGATATTTTTTTTCAATTTTTTCTTTTTTAGATGTGAATGATAAAGTTGCCTATCTGAACTTGGCAGGATACAGGGCAGGTGAAGTAGAGTTCATCTGTTTCTTTGTCCTAAGCAAATAAAGGTATAGTGTGGTCAGAGACATGCTCGGCTGGAATCGTTTTTTAAACGATAAAAACATGTTGTCTGAGACTTGGCGGGACACTGGGCAGGTGAAGTAGAGTTGAGTAGGTCACATGTGACGTCAGTATATGAAGGGATAGTCCGAAATCGGTGTTTTCGGTGTTTTTAAACGATAAAAAACATATTTTTGAATGTGGGGTCTGTTTTTTGTGACGATAAGTGACACTGCAGTAGCGTAGCGAGGAGGGGGGGCGGGAAGGGGAGGCGGGGGGGGGGGGGAAGGAGAGGCGGGGGGGGGGGGGAATGGGCGCGGGGGGACATATGTTGGGGCGCCAAAATGGTTTGGAAAAATAAATTGAAAGGTTGAGGGGGGTGCAAATTGAAAGTTTGAGTGGGGGGGGGGGGGTGCACATCAAAAGTTTGAGGGGGGGGGGTTAGCAAATCGAAATATTGCGGGGGGGGGGGGGGGTTCAAATCGAAAAGTTTGTCCCCGGGCGCCGGGAAGGGTCGCTATGCCTCTGAGAGACAGACGTGATGTTTTTTGATGGATGACCCCGAAACCCACAGTTATCCAACGGATGACGGGTATTCTAGTCTATATACTACTAAAAGTCAAGTTTGTTTACATGTTTGAATATTTATTTTTTTGTTTGTTTGTCCGATCGAGTATTGTGATATGTTCGACTCTATCTGGAGAGCTGTAAAATAGTATGTAGGTAGAGAATAATTTTTTAATGCAGACAGACTGTTAATCACAAATTTATTTAAAGACGTTAATTAATTTATTGATTTATTGATACGTAGATTAACCCATTTTTTTTTTAAAACGTTAAAACATTGACTAAACTTTGTGGGAATACACGATAGTGACGTCACAGGTTTTTGTTTACTCTTTAGTACAATAAAATGGCGGCGTCTATCGAAGAAAATTGTGTTCCCATTCAAAAGTTTAACGCGTTACAAAGCTAATTTTCTGCCGGCTATAACTTAAACAATACGCCCGTTTGCTGTATTTATTACGTTCCAACACTTATATCAATTTTAAACTGTCTTTTTTTTATTTAGTTTTACAATAAATTTCTCTAGATCTAAAGATCAGCTGTCGAAGGAAAGTTATGAATCTAGCCTAGATCTAGATCTAGCCTAGATCTAGGTCACTAGACTCAATGTAAATTCTAGATCTAGACTTAATGTAAATTCTACATCTAGAATCTATTTCAGGCCTTAATACATCTAGAATCTATTTCAGGCCTTAATTATTTTATATAAATCTTTGTTTGGCTAATTTAAGATAAAATTTAATTTGAAAGTTACTAATACTAGACTTAGATCTAGATCTATTCGCGTAAATCAAGTTGCATCAAAGTATAGTATAAAAATTCATTTGTGACGTCACGAGTAAATAGCTAAGTTGGTAGCGTATTCCGCTCTCATGCGGGTGGCACAGGTTCTAGACCAATATGTCAATGATATTTTTTTTCAATTTTTTCTTTTTTAGATGTGAATGATAAAGTTGCCTATCTGAACTTGGCAGGATACAGGGCAGGTGAAGTAGAGTTCATCTGTTTCTTTGTCCTAAGCATATGAAGGGATAGTGTGGTCAGAGATATGCTCGGCTGGAATCGTTTTTTAAACGATAAAAACATGTTGTCTGAGACTTGGCGGGACACTGAGCAGGTGAAGTAGAGTTGAGTAGGTCACATGTGACGTCAGTATATGAAGGGATAGTCCAAAATCGGTGTTTTCGGTGTTTTTAAAAGATAAAAAACATATTTTTGAATGTGGGGTCTGTTTTTTGTGACGATAAGTGACACTGCAGTAGCGTAGCGAGGAGGGGGGGCGGGAAGGGGAGGCGGGGGGGGGGGGGGAAGGAGAGGCGGGGGGGGGGAATGGGCGCGGGGGGACATATGTTGGGGCGCCAAAATGGTTTGGAAAAATAAATTGAAAGGTTGAGGGGGGTGCAAATTGAAAGTTTGAGTGGGGGGGGGGGGTGCACATCAAAAGTTTGAGGTGGGGGGGGGGGGGGTTAGCAAATCGAAATATTGCGGGGGGGGGGTTCAAATCGAAAAGTTTGTCCCCGGGCGCCGGGAAGGGTCGCTATGCCTCTGAGAGACAGACGTGATGTTTTTTGATGGATGACCCCGAAACCCACAGTTATCCAACGGATGACGGGTATTCTAGTCTATATACTACTAAAAGTCAAGTTTGTTTACATGTTTGAATATTTATTTTTTTGTTTGTTTGTCCGATCGAGTATTGTGATATGTTCGACTCTATCTGGAGAGCTGTAAAATAGTATGTAGGTAGAGAATAATTTTTTAATGCAGACAGACTGTTAATCACAAATTTATTTAAAGACGTTAATTAATTTATTGATTTATTGATACGTAGATTAACCCATTTTTTTTTTAAATGTTAAAACATTGACTAAACTTTGTGGGAATACACGATAGTGACGTCACAGGTTTTTGTTTACTCTTTAGTACAATAAAATGGCGGCGTCTATCGAAGAAAATTGTGTTCCCATTCAAAAGTTTAACGCGTTACAAAGCTAATTTTCTGCCGGCTATAACTTAAACAATACGCCCGTTTGCTGTATTTATTACGTTCCAACACTTATATCAATTTTAAACTGTCTTTTTTTTTATTTAGTTTTACAATAAATTTCTCTAGATCTAAAGATCAGCTGTCGAAGGAAAGTTATGAATCTAGCCTAGATCTAGATCTAGCCTAGATCTAGGTCACTAGACTCAATGTAAATTCTAGATCTAGACTTAATGTAAATTCTACATCTAGAATCTATTTCAGGCCTTAATACATCTAGAATCTATTTCAGGCCTTAATTATTTTATATAAATCTTTGTTTGGCTAATTTAAGATAAAATTTAATTTGAAAGTTACTAATACTAGACTTAGATCTAGATCTATTCGCGTAAATCAAGTTGCATCAAAGTATAGTATAAAAATTCATTTGTGACGTCACGAGTAAATAGCTAAGTTGGTAGCGTATTCCGCTCTCATGCGGGTGGCACAGGTTCTAGACCAATATGTCAATGATATTTTTTTTCAATTTTTTCTTTTTTAGATGTGAATGATAAAGTTGCCTATCTGAACTTGGCAGGATACAGGGCAGGTGAAGTAGAGTTCATCTGTTTCTTTGTCCTAAGCATATGAAGGGATAGTGTGGTCAGAGATATGCTCGGCTGGAATCGTTTTTTAAACGATAAAAACATGTTGTCTGAGACTTGGCGGGACACTGGGCAGGTGAAGTAGAGTTGAGTAGGTCACATGTGACGTCAGTATATGAAGGGATAGTCCGAAATCGGTGTTTTCGGTGTTTTTAAAAGATAAACAACATATTTTTGAATGTGGGGTCTGTTTTTTGTGACGATAAGCGACACTGCAGTAGCGTAGCGAGGAGGGGGGGGGGCGGGAAGGGGAGGGGAGGCGTGGGGGGGGGGGAAGGGGAGGCGGGGGGAGGGGAGGCGGGGGGAAGGGGGACATATGTTGGGGCGCCAAAATGGTTTGGAAAAATAAATTGAAAGGTTGAGGGTGGTGCAAATCGAAAGTTGGAGGGGGGGGGGGGGGGGTTGCAAATCGAAATCTTGCGGGGGGGGGGGGGTGGTTCAAATCGAAAAGTTTGTCCCCGGGCGCCGGGAAGGGTCGCTATGCCTCTGAGTGACAGACGTGATGTTTTTTGATGGATGACCCCCGAAACCCACAGTTATCCAACGGATGACGGGTATTCTAGTTGTATCTAACTTTCGCATATTATTAAAAAAAATACGAGTTGAAATATATAAATTTTACTTTGAAAACACCAAAAGAAGTAAAGTTCCTCTTTGAGAATTAAAGACCGATAGGGCGGATGACAAAGAGTTCATTTGTTTCTTAACCTCTGCATTTAATGGGTTTGTAATTAATTCACACATAAATTCATTTTTTTTCCAATTTGATGATTAGTTAAGCGTTTTCTATTTAAATAAACCGGTAGTGATCTCCCCTAAACTTTCTCGAATATTCTTATATAAAACAACAGGGGATGGTAACTGGGGATATAGTTATGATTTTTAATCCATTTTAAATACATAAACTTTTAAAAATAGAATAGAATCTCATAAAAAAAACATTGCGCACCAAGCAAACGCCGAATAAAAACGCGTATAATAGTGCGCAATATTATTAGTACTTTAAAAATTTACATTAGTTTTTTGAGAAATCGGAAGTAGCGTAAATTACTACTTCCAGTCAACGGAAATTACTCAAAATTTAACAGAAGGTAGAGAATTAGATCTTTTACTTACATGTGAAATTTCATTTATCTATCTGAAATAGTACTCAAGTTATAGGCTTTTGAAAAATTCAAAGTAGGAAAAGTACCACTTCCGGTTATCGGAAATCGCTCAAAAGTTGATACGGATCTACGATTTTGATAAAATACTTATATATGAAATTTCATCAACCTAGCTGTAACGGTACTCAAGTTATCGTGTTTACACACGGACAGACAGACAGACAGACAGACACACACACACACAGACATACGGACAAGATTGCAAAATTATGTTTTTCCGTATCAGTGAGGTGTAAAACGTCGAGATTTGTAAAAATCTCGATTTTTTTTTTTTGCACGATTACAATACTTTCTCTATACTACGTATATACGAGAAAGTAAAAATTGTAATATTGCTTGAACCTAGATTTTGCAATTTTATTTTTAAACTAATTTATTTTGATTTTAAGTTTTTGTTCGACAAAAAGTATGAAAGTTTTCATCGATGTTGATTGTAGTGCTTACTTATATTAATACTATAATATTGAATTTGAACGCATTTTCATTTTCAATTGCAACAATCTTTTTTCGCATGAACGTAATTTTTTAAATGAAGAAAATTATATATTTCAAATAACTAAAATGTTATAAATAATGACTAATAATTAAGTTTTGAAGTAATTTTTTATATCCTAATGTTTTCTTTATTTACTTTTGTGTTGTTATAGTTTTATATATATATATATATATATATATATATATATATATATATATATATATATATATATATATATATATTTATTTATTTATTTATTTATTTATATATATATATATATAGTAATGCCCCTTCTTCTATATACATAGATGGCTGCAGGATAAATAATAGCAGACCACATACTGTAAGGCATGAAGAAAACTTGAGGGTAAGTCTGTATACGCGTTCTTATTTTATAATTTAGTTTGATGTTTTGAGAAGCATGTAAAGTGATATACATTTAAGTATGGTACTGATGGATCAAATATTATTTTACAGCATTTTTGTTAAATATGGTAACTTAATTTCGAACCACTTATAATTCAACGATTTCGTAACTTTCAATATACATTCATCTCCAATTTCACATGTTGAGTCAGCCTAGACTGTAGATTAGACATTTATATATAACTAATGTTCCCTAACTAATATAAAAAGGGAGATGGAAAGATTATAAACTATCAATTGCTTGACGACGGTTAACTGGTTAGTTTTTTGCTTGAGAGGTACCCACGGAATGTGTAGATCTTTTAGAGATCGCAAGTTACTGATCATGTTTCAAAACTATTTTCTCAGGAGATAAAAATTGTGCAGGAGTGAAAACATTGTGCTATTCCTATTTGCTGTCACTAAATGTTTTAACTGAACAAATATGAGAGGAAACTCTATATATTCTACAATAGCATTTTAAAATTAATGTTATGATTTTAGAAAAATAAAGTAATCAAGCAAATATTTTAAAAATCTAAAACTCTCGCTACTTTTTTCCCTAGAATTTATGCCTCAGCTGCCTTGTGAGCGTACTATAAGACAGTGATAGATTTTTGTTATATTGATGGTGAAATTTTTACAACCCCCCCACCCCATTATGAAACAGACTAAGATCTAGTTTCTACCAATGGTTGTTGGATTTAGAAATGAATCGAATATAGTTTCTAGTAGTGAAATAATTACATTACCTTGAATATAAGTAGAACTATACCGTACTGATCAAAAGTTTGACTTTATTGTCATAGATACATTTTGTTTGCAAAATATGCTACTGTTTAGTTGAAATTTTAAGAATAAAGAAAGATATAACAAATATTAGATTTATAATGGTATAAAAAATTATTACAAATTATGAGTACTCAGAAATGAAAGGTATATTTTCTCCATCTTTTTGTTGTAAAAAAACAACTTTTAGTAGGGCTATCGAGTTTTGGTCAAACATAGAATTCTTGTTTCCCCTGGTGTCAGATATGCATTCAACTTTAGCTGAACTGGATAAAATAAATACCTTACGTTTGATGGATGCTATGCTACATATGTTTATATTTTACAGCTATCCAATATTTTGCTTCTCTGTTTCCAGAAAAGTATGAACATACAAACTAGGATCGATCTGCTCCTGATTGGAAAAACCGGGAATGGCAAAAGTGCGACTGGGAATTCCATTTTAGGGAAACGAAAGTTTGCGAGCGAGTCCGGTACATCTTCTGTGACGAAAGAGTTCGACGCCGATATCACAGAACACAAGGGTCGTCAGATTAAAGTCGTGGATGGTCTGGCATTTTGTGACACAAGGCTGGATAATGAACGGTCAGTTGAGCAGTTGAATGAGGCAGCAAAATTGGCTCTGGCAGCCAATCCTGAAGGCTATCATGCTTTTCTTCTCATCCTGAAATATGGCAATAGGTTTACACGTGACGAACAGGAGACGGTTGTGTTGTTAAAGAAAATATTCGGACATGATTTTGTTCGTAAATTTTGTATTCTAATCTTGACATGCGGAGATGTTTTTCATCAAGATCAGGAGGAAACAGATCCAGTAGGATTGGACTTCTCAGAGTGGTGCCAAAAACAAGATGGCGCATTTAAGGATTTGGTCGAGGAGTGTTGCAATAGGGTGATTTTGTTTGATAATAAAACCAAAGACGAGAAAAAGAAAAAAGAACAAGTTGACACATTAGTCCAAATGGTTGATGAGTTGAGATTTCGCGATCGACGTTATACGGAAGCTCACTATGAACAGGCTCAGAAAATCAAAGATAATGTGGCAGCCAAACCAAAGGTGCTCACGACAAACGGCGAGACCACGGTAAAAGATGAACGTCCAGTTGTTGACCAGCCGCAAGTCTCACATGAGACAGTAGACTTAGTCACACTTGACAAGATGTTGAGTCAAACCAATACTGTTCAGGTCATACTGACCAAGCAGGAAGAATGTTCTGGAGCTCTTCAAGACCTGACTCAAACCTTGGAATCTCTACAAAAACAGGTTTCTGGTGAAAACGCTATCTCTCGCAGATGTATTGAAGAAATACAACAAATTCGACAACAGGAAGAAGAAATGAAACAGGTATTCGATAAAGAGCTGAAAAATCAAAGAGAGGATTATGAAAATCAGATTGAGGACTTAAAACGCGATGAGCAACAGAGGAGGGAAATAGAACGCAATCACCAGAAGAGATTTGAAGATCTGGTGCAACAGAGGCGAGACACGGAGCGCGGACGTCAAACGATTCCCAGAGTAATGGAACAGGCAGGACAAGCACAGCAAGAAGGGGGAATGTTTGACCTCAAAAATATTCTTTCGGAAAGCCTGAAACTAGTACAAGAAGGAGAGGGAACGTTTGATGCCAAAAATAATCTTTTGGAAAAACTGAAACTGGTACAAGAAGGACTGAAGCTAGTGGAGAATGAACAGATAAACTTAAGTCAGCAGCCGTCTTAAGTTTAGGTGAGAATCCCAGTGTTGCCTCAACCGTGTGTCACTAATGAGCTTTGTAAGTCAAAGTAAATTAGGCTGGTGGTGTTTAGGCGGCGGAGTAGTTCTTCTCTTATTTTAATTAAAATAAAGTTACAGCATTGGCTGTTTGCAAAATACAAATGTTGTATAGAAAATGTTTATTTTCCAAATTTACGATTTAAAAAATAATCAGTTCTTTTCAGAGTTAATTCATTGAAGTAAGCGTATCAATAACAGTGTTTCTTCCAGACTTTTTTCTCCGGGGGTGCACTTGAAATTTTTTGGGCGGGCGGACAACAATTTCTGGGGGAGCGGACACTGTCAAAAGTATATATTTTCTATATAAATTCCATTTCGTTCGGGGGAGATGCCTGGAAGAAACTCTGATCAATAAGAAATTGCTCTTACAGACTAGAATGTCTTTTTAAAGTTGCAATAAATTGCTTTTCCTTTCATTCTTTCTTTCGGGCCTGTGGTTGAATTGTTAGCACCAGTTTGGTTGTGTGCTATATTACTTTTAGGTATTACGTTTATTCATAGTGGACCCTTGAGGACGGTTACAAATATTTTATTTCGAAAGTGATAACTATATTTTACATATACTTAATTCAGAAGTTCAATTTAATATCAATTGTTAACCCTCATGGTGAAAGAATGCAGTAATTTATATAACTCGTATATAAATATTTAATCGAATAACAAATCAATTGAAGGGGGAGGGGTAGGCTCTGTTAAAAAAAAACTTTTTTAATACTCGTTAGGAAACAATTGTTTCTCTATAGCTGTTTTACAGTACATCTGCATACGTGTATCCACTAAATTAAACCGGGAGTGATCTTCCCTAAACTTTCTCGAATATTCTTATATGAAACAACAGAGGATGGCGACTAGGAGTATAGACATGATTTTTATCCATTTTAAATACTTAAACTTTTTAAAAATAGAATAAAATCTCGTAGAAAAAAAAGAATTGCACGCCAAGTGAACGCCAAATAAAATGTGCATGATATTGCGGAATATTATGAGTAAATTTATAAATTCACATGCATTTTCTGAGAAATTGGAAATGGCATAAATTACTACTTTTGGTCAACGGAAATCGTTCAAAATTCGAAAGAAGGCAGGGTATTAGATATTTTACTTACATGCGAAATTTCATTTATCTATGTGAAATAGTACTCAAGTTATAGGCTTTTGAAAAATTTAAAGTAGAAAAAGTTCCACTTCCGTTTATCGGAAAGCGCACAAAAGTTTTTTCGGATATACGATTTTGATATAATAGTTGTATATGAAATTTCATTAACCTAGCTTCATTAACGGTACTCAAGTTATCGTGTTTACACACACACACACACACGCGGACATAATTGGATACTCCATTATGCATAGAACACAAACATTTTGATAAATCTAGATTTACAATTTTTGCCCGATTAAAATAAGTCCTGTATATCCCGTATGTTATGAAGGACTGAAGAGTAAAACGGTGAAAACTGTCAAAACTTCATGTGATTTTTGTTCACGATTACAATACTTTCTCTATACTCTGTATAAGAGAAAGTAAAAATTGGTGGAAAACTCTTGGTAACTATGACAATGGCGACTATCGTGAAAAATCAACCCTTTCGTAGGATTTCCACCATTCATAAAATATTATATTTTAAGCCAAATAAACAATGAATTCATAATCTGTTACCATATGTTTGGATTACTCAGCCTCCTGACAACCCTTCAGATGGAAATTGTTCCAAAAGTCTAGCTTTGCCAAGTGTTGCCTCTATAGGTAGGTTCTAGCTCTCAATGAATTCCACTCCACAAAAGAGCTGATGTGTTTCTGGTAGTTTGAGAAGGTAACAAATCGGCCAACAAACAAAATAATATATCTAATATAATATTCGGCACGTTACTCTACATGATTTTGGATAGGCACCATGACTAGAATAGCAAGCACCTTTTTGACTACCATCTACTGCAAATGAACTGATATGTGTACTTCGTCTCGTCAAAAGACGCCATTCTATTCTTACCATCTTTTTAATGAAAAATTTTCAAAGTAAAACCTGCAAGTTTTAAGTGGAAAATATATCGGTTGAATTTTTAAAACTTATTTAGCATTAGGTGGATATTTAAATGTACTATTGAAATATGTACTAGCACGTCTTTAGAATTGTTTAGCTCCGTAAGCCGAAACAAATTAAATCAATTTTATTTTAATTTAATTGTTAAATCTAGTGGGTTAATCTAATCAGATCTAGATAAAATAAAATGAAAGGCACCAGCCACAAACAGAAAGATCTAGATCTAGACTATATAATATCAACAGAGTAGATGTTGCATTGGTTCCGTTAGTTTTTCTCTTCGCATATTAACACATTGCTGTGTTGAACATTAGAATGTTGATGAAATCAAACTGTTCTTTATGATTTATTGTTTTCAGTTTTAGAATAAAGTATAATCTATAGAATGTTTGGTATTACCTGTAGATTTGCCACGCAGTTTTTCTGCAGTGTGTGTGTGTGTGGGGGGGGGGGGTAATAAGTCGAACACATGGACCTACTATATTGGTGTTGGCAAGATTAAAAGTTTGAAGTTATTTTCTATTGTTATTTGATCGTTTAAGCGTTTACCCCCCCCCCCCTCCCCACCCTCTAGTGTTAAAAATTTTTCAAAAATTAATGCAACAAACTCTACCCACACTGGTTACCAATATTTATGGTATTATAGCACCAGCCATTTGCTAGGTGAGAACTAAAGAAAAATAGATTAAATCAGAGAGCATTCGGTTAAAGCCTTGTGGCAAAACCTACTCATGTATTGATTTGCTCAATATATATATATATATATATACACTCACACTGACACACACACACACACACACATATATATATATATATATATATATATATATATATATATATATATATATATATATATATATATATATATATTTATATATATATATATATAAGAGTGGGTTTGTTTGACGTGATATTTTGCAAATGAGATCACTGCATGGCACATTCTAATGCAAAATTAAATCTTACGCTTTTTTATTTTATTTTATCATAGGTATATATTTATAATATAATTAGCACGTTACTCCAAGGCATTGTCATATTAGTTATGTTGTGTTTATTAAGTAAAATCCTAAACTGTGCAAAATGTTGCGTATCTGTATTCTGTATCTATTCTTTGCTCGCAATTTGTTATAAAAGTCTATCTATCACCTTTCAATGAAATGATATGTTATATTAGATTAAGTTATTATTATGAGATTTAAATTAAACATTGCAAAAACAGCAATATTTATTATCTAATGTTATTAATATATTAATTAACTTAAGAGTTTTCTTTTATACCATCACTACATTTAATAAAAATTCAAAATATAATGTCGGAAAAAGCTACTTTTGTAAATCTTAAAGCACGTTTTACTGATTCTCTTGCTCACAACAACTCTGGCATCACGGGAAACAATGCTTCTCACGATCAAACCTGACTAGTTGATACACAACACAAGATCAAACCTGACTAGTTGATACACAAGATCAAACCTAACTAGTTGATACACAACACAAGATCAAACCTTACTAGTTGATACACAAGATCAAACCTGACTAGTTGATACACAAGATCAAACCTGACTAGTTGATACACAAGATCAAACCTGACTAGTTGATACACAAGATCAAACCTGACTAGTTGATACACAAGATCAAACCTGACTAGTTGATACACAAGATCAAACCTGACTAGTTGATACACAAGATCAAACCTGACTAGTTGATACACATCACAAGATCAAACCTGACTAGTTGATACACAAGATCAAACCTGACTAGTTGATACACAAGATCCAACCTGACTAGTTGATACACAAGATCCAACCTGACTAGTTGATACACAACACAAGATCAAACCTGACTAGTTGATACACAAGATCCAACCTGACTAGTTGATACACAAGATCAAACCTGACTAGTTGATACACAACACAAGATCAAACCTGACTAGTTGATACACAAGATCAAACCTGACTAGTTGATACACAACACAAGATCCAACCTGACTAGTTGATACACAAGATCCAACCTGACTAGTTGATACACAACACAAGATCAAACCTGACTAGTTGATACACAAGATCAAACCTGACTAGTTGATACACAAGATCAAACCTGACTAGTTGATACACAACACAAGATCAAACCTGACTAGTTGATACACAACACAAGATCAAACCTGACTAGTTGATACACAAGATCAAACCTGACTAGTTGATACACAAGATCCAACCTGACTAGTTGATACACAAAACAAGATCAAACCTGACTAGTTGATACACAAGATCCAACCTGACTAGTTGATACACAAGATCAAACCTGACTAGTTGATACACAACACAAGATCAAACCTGACTAGTTGATACACAAGATCAAACCTGACTAGTTGATACACAACACAAGATCCAACCTGACTAGTTGATACACAAGATCCAACCTGACTAGTTGATACACAACACAAGATCAAACCTGACTAGTTGATACACAAGATCAAACCTGACTAGTTGATACACAAGATCAAACCTGACTAGTTGATACACAACACAAGATCAAACCTGACTAGTTGATACACAACACAAGATCAAACCTGACTAGTTGATACACAAGATCAAACCTGACTAGTTGATACACAAGATCCAACCTGACTAGTTGATACACAAAACAAGATCAAACCTGACTAGTTGATACACAAGATCCAACCTGACTAGTTGATACACAAGATCAAACCTGACTAGTTGATACACAACACAAGATCAAACCTGACTAGTTGATACACAAGATCAAACCTGACTAGTTGATACACAACACAAGATCAAACCTAACTAGTTGATACACAACACAAGATCCAACCTGACTAGTTGATACACAACACAAGATCCAACCTGACTAGTTGATACACAACACAAGATCAAACCTGACTAGTGGATACACAAGATCCAACCTGACTAGTTGATACACAACACAAGATCAAACCTGACAAGTTGATACACAACACAAGATCAAACCTGACTAGTTGATACACAACACAAGATCAAACCTGATTAGTTGATACACAACACAAGATCAAACCTTACTAGTTGATACACAACACAAGATCCAACCTGACTAGTTGATACACAACACAAAATCAAACCTGACTAGTTGATACACAAGATCCAACCTGACTAGTGGATACACAACACAAGATCCAACCTGACTAGTTGATACACAACACAAGATCATACCTGACTAGTTGATACACAACACAAGATCCAACCTGACTAGTTGATACACAACACAAGATCAAACCTGACTAGTTGATACACAACACAAGATCAAACCTGACTAGTTGATACACAACACAAGATCAAACCTGACTAGTTGATACACAACACAAGATCAAACCTGACTAGTTGATACACAACACAAGATCAAACCTGACAAGTTGATACACAACACAAGATCAAACCTGATTAGTTGATACACAACACAAGATCAAACCTGACAAGTTGATACACAACACAAGATCAAACCTGACTAGTTAATACACAACACAAGATCAAACCTGACTAGTTGATACACAACACAAGATCAAACCTGACTAGTTGATACACAACACAAGATCAAACCTGACAAATTGATACACAACACAAGATCAAACCTGACAAGTTGATACACAACATCAAACCTGACAAGTTGATACACAACACAAGATCAAACCTGACAAGTTGATACACAACACAAGATCAAACCTGACAACATGATACACAACACAAGATCAAACCTGACTAGTTGATACACAATACAAGATCAAACCTAACAACATGATACACAACACAAGATCAAACCTGACTAGTTGATACACAACACAAGATCAAACCTGACAACATGATACACAACACAAGATCAAACCTGACAAGTTGATACACAACACAAGATCAAACCTGACTAGTTGATACACAACACAAGATCAAACCTGACTAGTTGATACACAACACAAGATCAAACCTGACTAGTTGATACACAACACAAGATCAAACCTGACTAGTTGATAAACAACACAAGATCAAACCTGACTAGTTGATACACAACACAAGATCCAACCTGACTAGTTGATACACAACACAAGATCATACCTGACTAGTTGATACACAACACAAGATCAAACCTGACAAGAAGATCAAACCTGACTATTTGATACACAACACAAGACCAAACATGACTAGTTGATACACAACACAAGATCAAACCTGACTAGTTGATACACAACACAAGATCAAACCTGACAAGTTGATACACAACACAAGATCAAACCTGACTAGTAGATACACAACACAAGATCAAACCTGACTAGTTGATACACAACACAAGATGAAACCTGACTAGTTGATACACAACACAAGATCAAACCTGACTAGTTGATACACAACACAAGATCAAACCTGTGTGGTTTTCCCTCGTGAATTAAAAGATCAGCTGGTGCGCACATGAAGTCTTGTACTAAACGTATCGTAGCTACACATTAGATCAAACAATGACACATTGCTATAGAGTTATTTTAAAATGATTTGCTACTTTTTTACTTTCTCGTATATACGAAGTATAGAGAAAGTCTTGTAATCGTGCAAAAAAAAAAAATCGAGATTTTTGCAAATCTCGACGTTTTACATCTCACTGATACGGAAAAACATAATTTTGCAATCTTGTCCGTATGTCTGTGTGTCCGTGTGTGTGTGTGTGTGTGTGTGTGTGTGTGTGTCCGTGTGTAAACACGATAACTTGAGTACCGTTACAGCTAGGTTGATGAAATTTCATATACAAGTATTATATCAAAATCGTAGATCCGTATCAACTTTTGAGCGATTTCGGATAACCGGAAGTGGTACTTTTTCTACTTTGAATTTTTCAAAAGCCTATAACTTGAGTACTATTTCAGATAGATAAATGAAATTTCACATGTAAGTAAAAGATCTAATTCTTTACCTTCTGTTAAATTTTGAGTAATTTCCGTTGACCGGAAGTAGTACTTTACGCTACTTCCGATTTCTCAAAAAACTAATGTAAATTTATAAAGTACTAATACTATTGCGCACTATTATACACACCTTTATTAGGCGTTCGCTTGGTGCGCAATTGTTTTTTACTGAGATTCTATTCTATTTTTAAAAGTTTCAGTATTTAAAATGGATTAAAGATCATAACTATATCCCCAGTTACCATCCCCTGTTGTTTTATATAAGAATATTCGAGAAAGTTTAGGGGAGATCACTACCGGTTTATTTGTATCCTACTTTACACAAACATAATGGATCCTGGACTGTGAACTCACAGCGGGACCGAACTAGAATAGCCTATATGTTAAGATTGCACACCATGTTTATAGTTCAGGTTGCACACCGTGATTTTAAAGAGTAAGCACTAGTTCTGATTTAAGCGGTACGCGATAATGAACGGTTGTGTTTACACCATCTTGTCCACTAACAACATTTAAATTGATATTAATGAGAAAATATATTTAAATTTATAAAATTCGATCGGAAAAAGACAGATACGGTGATTTGAAGGGAGGTGATTTTGATCATAATGGGAAGGACCCTTTAGCTATGTTAATGAAGAGGAATGTGAATATATTGCTTTGAGAAGGTAACGTATTAAGTTTTGATTCTCACTAAGTTTCTTCTTTTCTCTATTTGTACATAGAATAACTTGGTTTACGCCTGCAAACAGTGATTCTCTCATACAGATATAGTAATTCAGTATTAAATTTATATACTGCACATGAAATCAACTAGAGCACTATGCTAGCGTACAAGAAGAACATAGAGTTCCACGTGCCTGTTACAGTAGACCAATCCAGATACAACAAGACGTCACCATGTGAGCTGTAGTGCACCCTAAGGAGTCGTGATAATCTTGTTTTAGTCGTAATCTTGCACAGCATTGCAAGTAAATTTGCTCTCCCAAATCTGGTGGTACAGGTGGAGTAGAGTTCACCTATTTATGTGACTTAGGCATATGACGTGACCGTAAATAGGGTCAGATACCCATCAGAGCTGGTTTATTGCAGCAACATCATGAGTTCTTGAGATCTAGTGCTGAAGGTATTAGATGTTATCAGTGTTTCTTTCAGACTTTTTTCTTCGGGGGGGGGGGGGGGGCGCAATTGATATTTTCTGAGGGCCGGACAACATTTTCGGGGGGGGGGGGCACTAAGTAAATTATATGTTTTTTATATAGATTCCATTTCGTTCGGTGGAGGGCGGTAGACTTTCATCGAAGAGATGACTGGAAGAAACTCTGTTATGTCTATAGCTGTGTTTGTCTGATAATTAAAGCGTCTATAGTCGTCAATGTAAAAAGTTGCCAAATATTTTCCCCATTTATTAGAATCTACAAGTAATGTGAAGCACACATTATCAATTGTTTATTCTTAGGTGTTCGAAACATTTAAACTAATACATTAAATCCACTTAATTTTTTTTAAACAGATACATCTTTTTGCGAAGCTGAAAAATGGAACCAGGTAGCCTATAGTGTTAATTATATATATATATATATATATATATATATATATATATATATATATATAGTATATATATATATATAGTATATTAATAGTATATATATTTATATATATATATATATATATATATATATATATATATATATATATATATATATATATATACTATATATATATAAATATATATAGTATATATATATATATAGTATATTAATAGTATATATATATATATATATATATATATATATATATATATATATATATATATATATATATATATATATATATACAACTTGTGATATAAATGATGTTAGTGCTGTGATTACCATAGTTTTACTTTAAGGATACATGCTTAACCCACACCAGTGGTTCCCATACAGAGCAGTAGCGCTACCCGAGAATGGGAATGCTAGGGTTGGTGTTTTGGTTAATAGAAAGATGTTTGGAATTGAGAGGTTTGAAGCTTACACTTGTGTCTTCTACAAAGACAGTTCAGAAATGTTTGTTCTGAGAACAGCATCAACGACAACAGATTGTCGACTGCAGAAGAGAACCTTAGGCCGCTAAATCATGTATAATTTCTATGAATGCGAATCACCGCCTTTTATATAAAACTATAAAAATTAACAGCTTAGTGGGCAAGAGGAAAAGAATAGGCGATGAATGTAGGGCCTATATATATATATACATGTATATTATATAAAAGTATATATATATATATATATATATAATTCTCCATCACCTCTTATATAAAACAGTAAAATTTCATCGAGTTGACCGAGGTGAACATGGATTGGGTGCTTACGTATCTGCAGATGTCATAAATAATAGTCTCAGTCCAAATGGATGCTATATGCGAGATAGTAGTTCTGTGGCTTACAGTGCCATTGGTTACAACTCAGGCGGGCACTTGATATTTTCAGAGGTGGGGGGCGGACTAAATTTGCCGGGATGGCGGTCACTAGGAAAAGTATATAATTTCTATATAAATTCCATTATGTGGGGGGAGGGGCGGTAGACATTCTTCGTGGGGGGGGGTGGTGCTCCGAAGAGATGCCTAGAAAAACTCTAACACTAGACCCAGATCTGTAGACTTACAGTCCGTAGATGCTTTTGAATTCGTACTAGTTCTGGATCTACTTAATATTTAATCTATTTCTTTCATTATGCAGACAATTTCAGTCCAAATCAGTATCCGTACAACACAGGCGGATATCCATCTTCAATGGGACCAATAAGACCACCTGCTTTTGGACCTCCTTATGGTTGCATTCCAGGTGATACATCGGCTTATCTGTATCTTTCTCGAATATTCTTATATGAAACAAAAGGAATTGACTACTTCCGGTCAACGGAAATTATTCAAAATTTGACAAAAGGCTAAAAATTTGATCTTTTACTTTCATTTGAAATTTCATTTATCTATCTATCTATCTATCTATCTATCTATCTATCTATCTATCTATCTATCTATCTATCTATCTATCTATCTATCTATCTATCTATCTATCTATCTATCTATCTATCTATCTATCTATCTATCTATCTATCTATCTATCTATCTATCTATCTATCTATCTATCTATCTATCTATCTATCTATCTATCTATCTATCTATCTATCTATCTATCTATCTATCTATCTATCTATCTATCTATCTATCTATCTATCTATCTATCTATCTATCTATCTATCTATCTATCTATCTATCTATCTATCTATCTATCTATCTATCTATCTATCTATCTATCTATCTATCTATCTATCTATCTATCTATCTATCTATCTATCTATCTATCTATCTATCTATCTATCTATCTATCTATCTATCTATCTATCTATCTATCTATCTATCTATCTATCTATCTATCTATCTATCTATCTATCTATCTATCTATCTATCTATCTATCTATCTATCTATCTATCTATCTATCTATCTATCTATCTATCTATCTATCTATCTATCTATCTATCTATCTATCTATCTATCTATCTATCTATCTATCTATCTATCTATCTATCTATCTATCTATCTATCTATCTATCTATCTATCTATCTATCTATCTATCTATATATATATATATATATATATATATATATATATTTATTTATTTATTTATTTATTTATATATATATAATTCTCCATCACCTCTTATATAAAACAGTAAAATTTCATTGAGTTGACGGAGGTGGACATGGATTGGGTGCTTACTTATCTGCAGATGTCATAAATAATAGCCTCAGTCCAAATGGATGCTATATGCGAGATAGTAGTTCTGTGGCTTACAGTGCCATTGGTTACAACTCAGGCGGACTTTTTTCTCCAGGGGGGCACTTGATATTTTCAGGGGGGGGGGACTAAATTTGCCGGGATGGCGGTCACTAGGAAAAGTATATAATTTCTATATAAATTCCATTATGTGAGGGGGGGGGGGGGGGCGCGGTAGACATTCTTCGTGGGGGGGGGATGCTCCGAAGAGATGCCTAGAAAAACTCTAACACTAGACCCAGATCTGTAGACTTACAGTCCGTAGATGCATTTGAATTCGTACTAGTTCTAGATCTACTGAACATGTAATCTATTTCTTTCATTATGCAGACAATATCATTCATATAGGATGGAGCAGCGCAGGCGGATATCCGTCTTCAATGGGACCAATAAGGCCACCTGCTTTTGGACCTACCTATGGCGGCATTCCAGGTGATACATCGGCTTATCTGTTGAGTTTTTGTTAAATATAATAGGCCTAAACTTTCTCGAATATTCTTATATGAAACAACAGGGGATGAATACTTCCGGTCAACGAAAATTATTCAAAATTTGACTAAACGCTAAAAATTTGATCTTTTACTTACATGTGAAATTTCATTTATCTATCTGAAATAGTACTCAAACTGAAGGCTTTAAAATATTGAAAATAGAAAAAAGTTCCATTTCCGGTTATCGGAAATCGCTCAAAAGTTGATACGGATCTATGATTTTGATATAATACTTATATATGAAATTTCATCAATCTAGCTGTAACTGTACTCACGTAATCGTGTTTACAGATACACACATACACACACACAGAGAGACATACGGACAAGATTGCAAAACTATGGTATTCCTACTCAGGAAGCTGTAAAACGTCGAGATTTGCAAAAATCTCGATTTATTTTTTTCTGCACGATAACAAGACTTTCTCTATGCTTCGTATATACGAGAAAGTAAAAATCAAGCACTATTTCCGTTTCAGTTATTAATGAACTGATATAATTAACTCGAAATTGTAAGAGAGAAATCTAGTTTTATTTTAAAACCAAAATAAGTTAACGTAGCTGTTGTTTATTGAATGGCTTTTTAAATGGTTTCTGAGGTTTAGTCAAAAACATATATGAAATATTACACGATCTTGCGTAATTTGAGTTTTAAGTATGCCGTGTTTCTTTTAGAAAACTTGAAAAAGTTTATATTTAAATGTAAATTCCATTTCAGGCCCAATTATTTACAGGCCACCTTATGGCGGCGGCATGAGTCCATATAGCCCTAATGGGCCAACAATTGGACCACAGTTGGTTCCACCTTGGAGACCAAGTGAGAGACGAACAGACTTAAGCTCTGCCTCATCATCAAATGAATCTTTATTCACGGACCTCTCAGGTAGGGTTTAAATATTGATTACACACCTTTTATATTTTACATAGGAAGTACTGAAAAAAAATTCATAAAAAACGTTTTAATAACAAGTTTTTATGTAATAATGCACAAAAAAGGAGAAAATAAATTATACACTACTATTTAAATAACTATAAAGAATATATATATATATATATATATATATATATATATATATATATATATATATATATATATATATATATATATATATATATACACATACATATATATATTATAATAATGACCCTTCTTCCACATACAAAGATGGCTGCAAGATAAATACTAGCAGACCACATACTGTAAGGCAGGAACAAAAGTTGAGGGTAAGTCTGTATAAGAGTCAGTATTATATAATTTATTTTGATGTTTTGTTGAGTAGCATGTAAGGTGATATGCATGCATTACATTTTAATATGGTACGAGCGGCTCAAATATTATTTGACAGGATTTTTAGTAAATCTAGTAACTCCATTTCAAACTCTTTTAACTCTACGATTTCGTAGCTTTCCATATACATTCATCCCTGATGATACTGAAATATTTTCACATGTTGAATCTACTAGACATTAGATTAGTCATTATCTATAATTAATGATCCCTAAATTATATGAAAGGGGAGATGGAAGGATTATAAACTATCAACTGCTTGACAACGGTGAACTGGTTAGTTTTTTGCTTAAGATGCACCCACAGACTATGAATGTATAGATAACTGTCTTTTAGAGACCGCAAGTTACTGATCGTGTTTCAAAACTATTTTCTCAGGAGATAAAAATTTTGCAGGAGTTAAAACATTATTCTCTTCCTATTTGCTGCCACTAAAAGTTTTTACTGAACAAATATGAGAGGAAACTACTTATTCTACTATAACATTTCAAAATTTAGTTTTATAATTTTAATAAAAATTAAGCAAATTTTTAAAAAGTTTTTTTTTTTGCTCGACCTGAAACTCGCGCTGCTATTTTTAACCAAGAATTTCCACTATAGCTGCTGTGTGAATATATTAGGTAGTGATAGATTTTTGTTATATTGATGGTGATACTTCACCCCCCCCCCCCCCTCACCTACATATTGATATATACTTAAATCTAGTTTTGGCTATATTTTTTTCCCTTTCGTTGTCTTTATTATAATATTGCTAATTAGCAGGATTTCTTTATTTTTATTTTTTGAAACTTATATAATTCTGCAATGCAAATTGACATGTCATGTGAATTTTTGTTTACTTTAAGACAAAGTTAAAATCTTTATTTTAGTTAATAGTAGGTCTTTTGATGAGTTGAATTTAAATAGTCCACGCACCACTTTAGTATAGCTATAATAATGTAAATAAAACGTTGCCAATATTACCTTGAACTTTAAACGACGATAATTTCTTCCCATCCGCTTAAAGCATACGTTCCCCACCAGCTATTGCTTCCTGCATTGGTACTTCGGACTCACTTGTTTGGGTTAGTGGTGGACCTTGGTCAGTAGACGACCTACTGGATGGACCTATGTCAGTAGACGACCTACTGGGTGGACCTTGGTCAGTAGACTGGGTTGACCTTGGTCAGTAGACGACCTTCTGGGTGGACCTTGGTCAGTAGACGACCTACTGGGTGGACCTTGGTCAGTAGACGACCTACTGGGTGGACCTTGGTCAGTAGACTGGGTGGACCTTGGTCAGTAGACGACCTACTGGGTGGACCTTGGTCAGTAGACGACCTACTGGGTGGACCTTGGTCAGTAGACGACCTACTGGGTGGACCTTGGTCAGTCGACGACCTACTGGGTGGACCTTGGTCAGTAGACGACCTACTGGGTGGACCTTGGTCAGTAGACGACCTACTGGGTGGACCTTGGTCAGTAGACGACCTACTGGGTGGACCTTGGTCAGTAGACTGGGTGGACCTTGGTCAATAGACGACCTACTGGGTGGACATTGGTCAGTAGACGACCTACTACCTCGAACCCGCTATCCGAGCATGTGGTTTTCGTTCTACAGCTAGACCATGCTGCTCTACAGCTAGACCATGCTGTTCTACAGCTAGACCACGCTGTTCTCCAGAAACAGCCGATGTTGGATTAGAATTTAATTTCTGCAACTAGACTATCTACTACAAATGTGGACTGAATTGGCTAATTTTTGTGTGTTCAATAACTTTACTCAAGTCTAGGGTTATACAAACCATATTGGGTGTTAGTAAAAAAAACGTAACTGATTCGTCTATCATCCAAGTCTACCGTTAATACTAAATTATTTCCTTGTTATTTTTGCCTAGCGTCAAAATTAAAATTGATGCTTGTTATCTAATCATCGCCTACCCACCTTCAACTTGTCAACTACGTCATTCTGCTCATACTCACACCACACATATTCTATATCAACAAACATATTCAAGTCGATACACTCTAACCCATTATTTATTTCTTCCGTAATTATTATGAAGCCAATTAAGTCATTAATCGACTGTTTGGGAAGTGACACTGTGTATACTTTGTTATGTAACATGTTATTATACCAAATGTGTATGCAACATGAACTTCTTTTTTTTTCCTAGTGCATACCACCAAGGATTGATTTACTACTGGTCGGAAAAACCGGAAACGGCAAAAGTGCCACCGGAAACACAATAGTAAGAGAACAGACGTTCGAAAGCGGATCAACCACGTCTTCGTTAACCAAACAATTCTACAGCGCGACTACAAACACAAAGGTCGTCCGTTAAAAGTCGTGGATGGTCTGACAGTTTGTGACACCAGACTTAACATAGAACGGTCAGTTGAGCAGACAACTGAGGCCGCTAAGCTGGCTCTGGCAGCCAATCCTGAAGGCTATCATGCCTTTCTTCTGGTCCTTAAATATGGGAACAGGTTCACTCATGAAGAAAAGGATGCGGTTGATACTTTAAAAAAAGTTCTTGGAGATAATTTCCTACGAAAAAACGGTATTTTAATCATTACCGGCGGCGATATTTTCAAGGAAGAACAACGTGGAAAATTAGATAAGAGAACAACCTTCCCCCAATGGTGCGAAAAACAAGACGGCGCCTTTAAAGATTTGATAGAAGAATGTGACAATAGAATCATCTTATTCGACAACAACACTCAGGTGAAAAAGATCAAACAAATCGAAAAATTATTAAATAAAGTCGATGAGTTACTTAGCGCTCGCCGCTATACCAACAAGCGATTTGAAAGAGTTCAGATCCAAAATCAGATCCAGGATGAAACTAGACCAGAAGTCGAGCTGACACAAGTCACCAACAGCCGTATTCAGAATGAAGACTTGGTGTCATGTGAAAGTAGCCAAAGTATGCCTGCCACGTATTCACCACTTGACTACCCAGATTCTCCACCCAAATCGGCATTCGTGCTGAAAGATAAAAGTGAGGAATACGAAAATCTGATTAGGGAATTCGAGCTTTTTAAGAAAAAACAACAAGAAATCGAAGAGTATTTCCAGAAAAAAATTGAAGAAATGGAGCAGAGAATGCGAGACAAGGATAGCGATCATCAAGAGACAGCAGAGGTATTGGAGCCGGAAATCAACCTGGAACAGTCAATGGTTAACGTTGAAACAATAAATGAGGATATCGAAAGTTAAAAATTGGAAGAGGTTTAAATGTTAAGTAGGAACTAAAGAAAAAACAACGCATTTTCTAGTCTTCAAATTGGAACTGCAGTAGTGTCATCCTGTGTTACTTACGCGCTTTGTATGCAGATACAATTATTACTATATCAGGTACCATAATTCAGGTGAAAATTTGCATAAAGCGGTAGGGCCCTATCCATCTACCAGTTTCTACTAAATTAAAGTTTTGAAACTAGGCCTACCAACTTATATTTTTGTCATTTATATATATATAAATATTTCCAAATTTTAGATCAACTTTTTTTTCTAAATTAATTTTTTTAACATAATTATTTTGTGAGTTTATTAGAGCGTAAGTGCATAATGAATGCTGTACTCTCTAAAATTATAATGTAATTTGAGAGTATAAAAATGGATGAATGACTTGCATTTTCATGTGAGTAGGTTATGTTGTTTAAAGATTCAAAATTATAATGTAATTTGAGAGTATTAAAAATGGATGAATGACTTGCATTTTCGTGTGAGAATGTTGTTAAAAGATGCAAAATTATCTTGGTCAACATGTGGACCACTTAGAGATAACTGTAGAATGCAACACGTGCTGTTTGTTTTTCTACTGTGTTTATAGCCTTTAAAGCTCCATCGTGCATCGATTGATTTATTCAACCATGACTATTGTGGTTGCATTTTTAAAGCTATATAAACATGGTTATATATACATATTTTATTAGTTTGACATTGTATATTAGACATAATTTTGTAACAATTATTAAAACAAGATGTGGCATGTTAAAGGAAAACATACTTTTGTTATAATTTTATCAAAAACGTTATATAATTAGGTACGTGGAGACATGGACAACAGATAGACACTAAAAAAGAATCAAGACTTTTTAAGCAAATGGTTGAAGAATATATTTAAAATATTATGACAAGAGAAGCTGAGCAAAACTATAGGTGTCTGGACAGAAGACAATAGAAATGTAAATCACGGAGAGGGGAAAGCTTAAGCGATAAAACGCGAGTGTGCGATTTCGAAAGTCGACACTAGGGTACAGAGTTTCTTCCAGGCATCTCTTCGGGGGGGCAAAGCCCCCCCGAAAATTTTTTACCGCCCCCCCGAACGAAATGAAATTTATATAATTTATATAGAAAATATATATTTTTAACAGTGTCCGCCCCCCCGAAGAAAGTTTACCGCCCCCCCCGAAGATTTCAAGTGCCCCCCCGGAGAAAAAAGTCTGGAAGAAACACTGCTAGGGTATAGGTGTAATACAAGGTGCGCTTTCCCTGACCAAGATGCCCATTTCTTCCTTATCAAAAACAGATGATTGCAAGCCAGGGAATAGATAGATGGTCGGAAAGAAACGAGATTTTGATAAAAAAATATAAGCACTTAAAAAGGTCAGTGGACTATGAACAAATATAAAGACGTTAAATGAGATAAGTAAAGGTCAAACGTCTCAATAGAAGCCTAATTAGTAGTCAATTTTAGTGTTTCTGTAAATTAAAAATTACTAGATAATAACGATGAACTAATGTTTGAGAAATAAAATACTGGGATAACTAAGGATCAACTTGGTAAGGAGTAGAAATCACAGAAGAAATACAAGTCGAATAATGTGGAGGATTAGTGGTCTTTGAGAATATGAATAAAAAAGTTAATTTTATAACGGAAAGGTTAACAGATCAAATGCTAGTGTTACCTAAACATTTATACACATTTTTGAAGTATTTTTTTTTTATTTTTAATAGTGAAGTGATGACGATTAGGCTAAGATATAACTTTTAAAAAATGTTTAAGTAATGAAACACTCTGAAACCTGCAGATAAACAAGCTTCAATTTATCACTTTACTATTTATGTTTAATATTGCGCACCATGTTTCGAAAATCAAGCACCATTTCCGCATCAAGTGTTTTAAAGTTGACAAAAAACATCTTCTTTTTCAACGACAGAGATTTTTAGGAACACATTGTTTTTATTTTAAATATTTCTATTGAATGGTTTCCAAAACTGGACCTAAATGTTAAAGTGGTATGAATAAATTTTAAATTTAGAACGTCATGTAGCATTGATAATTTAATATTGAAATACAATTTTGATTAGACAATCGCATAGAGTATAGAGTGTAGACAAATAAATATTGATCAAATAAGTGTCATTCAGTAGAGATTATATCTCAGCTGGAAACTAAATCTTAATATGTAAATGAATAAATATATATATATATATATATATATATATATATATATATATATATATATATATATATAAAGATTGAGAGAGAGAGAGATAGAGGAGCGTTCAAAGGACACTGCTCTGTATGTCTATCTTCCAATATTCGACCATTGAGCAGTCAATGTAAGTATAAAGTTTATCTGCAAAACATACATATGTATTTAAGCTAAAATAAGTTACGTATAACATCAGTTATAAGTTTCATATTATAATAATTTAAGTAACAATCTCAATGTAGAGTTCGAATTATCATCAAAAGCTTTACTTAAAAAACGTGTAGCTATTTGTATTAAGTAGATGTAAGTGTAATGTATGTTATTTAAGGTTATATTGTACAGGAGGTGGTTTAAGCATGGCTTATTTTCTCTATGTAATCAATGTGCACGATTTAGCTTATTTAGATACATGAAATAAAACTGTTTTTTGTTCATGTCGTCATTATTCCTATAAAGTATTTTGTAAAACGTTTGGGTTGTATGTCGAAAGCAATGTTGGTAGACTATCGACAATGATGAACTACAGTTTTCTACTTGAAAGTATAGAGTTGCAAGTAAAGTCAGAGTGAGTAGCAGTATATGCTACACAATTGGTCGCAAACAGCGATGGCATTTTAAAATGTCGCGGAAAGATTGTGATTTGTGTGACTTAACGGATAGGGGCTTCGTATTGAATCTAGTTACAGAATAATGTTTGGTCATTCATATGTAATCAACAAAAGAAAAGTGTTGTGATTGAGACAGGGACTTATATGTCAATGTACAGGTAGGGAGGTGGATAGTCAATTCATCACTCCTACTGGTAGTTAGGTGGACAGCAAACTGGTCAACAAAACTGGTGGACAGCAAACTGGTCAACAAAACTGGTGGACAGCAAACTAGTCAACAAAACTGGTGGACAGCAAACTAGTCAACAAAACTGGTGGACAGCAAACTGGTCAACAAAACTTGTAGTGAGGTGGACAGCAAACTGATCAACAAAACTGGTAGTTAGGTGGACAGCAAACTGGTGAACAAAACTGGTGGACAGCAAACTGGTCAACAAAACTGGTAGTGAGGTGGACAGCAAACTGGTCAACAAAACTGGTAGTGAGGTGGACAGCAAACTGGTCAACAAAACTGGTAGTGAGGTGGACAGCAAACTGGTCAACAAAACTGGTGGACAGCAAACTGGTCAACAAAACTGGTGGACAGCAAACTAGTCAACAAAACTGGTGGACAGCCAACTGGTCAACAAAACTGGTGGACAGCAAACTAGTCAACAAAACTGGTGGACAGCAAACTGGTCAACAAAAGTAATAGGGAAGTGGACAGCAAACTGGACAACAAAACTGGTGGACAGCAAACTGGTCAACAAAACTGGTAGTGAGGTGGACAGCAAACTGGTCAACAAAACTGGTAGTTAGGTAGACAGCAAACTGGTCAACAAAAGTAATAGGGAAGTGGACAGCAAACTGGACAACAAAACTGGTGGACAGCAAACTGGTCAACAAAACTGGTAGTGAGGTGGACAGCAAACTGGTCAACAAAACTGGTAGTGAGGTGGACAGCAAACTGGACAACAAAACTTGTAGTGAGGTGGACAGCAAACTGGACAACAAAACTTGTAGTGAGGTGGACAGCAAACTGATCAATAAAACTGGTAGTGAGGTGGACAGCAAACTGGTCAACAAAACTGGTGGACAGCAAACTGGTCAACAAAACTGGTGGACAGCAAACTAGTCAACAAAACTGGTGGACAGCAAACTAGTCAACAAAACTGGTGGACAGCCAACTGGTCAACAAAACTGGTGGACAGCAAACTAGTCAACAAAACTGGTGGACAGCAAACTGGTCAACAAAAGTAATAGGGAAGTAGACAGCAAACTGGACAACAGAACTGGTGGACAGCAAACTGGTCAACAAAACTGGTAGTGAGGTGGACAGCAAACTGGTCAACAAAACTGGTAGTGAGGTGGACAGCAAACTGGTCAACAAAACTTGTAGTGAGGTGGACAGCAAACTGGTCAACAAAACTGGTAGTGAGGTGGACAGCAAACTGGTCAACAAAACTGGTAGTTAGGTGGACAGCAAACTGGTCAACAAAAGTAATAGGGAAGTGGACAGCAAACTGGACAACAAAACTGGTGGACAGCAAACTGGTAAACAAAACTGGTAGTGAGGTGGACAGCAAACTGGTCAACAAAACTGGTAGTGAGGTGGACAGCAAACTGGACAACAAAACTTGTAGTGAGGTGGACAGCAAACTGATCAACAAAACTTGTAGTTAGGTGGACAGCAAACTGGACAATAAAACTTGTAGTGAGGTGGACAGCAAACTGATCAACAAAACTGGTAGTTAGGTGGACAGCAAACTGGACAACAAAACTGGTAGTTAGGTGGACAGCAAACTGGTCAACAAAAGTGGTAGTGAGGTGGACAGCAAACTGATCAACAAAACTTGTAGTTAGGTGGACAGCAAACTGGTCAACAAAACTGGTGGATTGCAAACTGGTCAACAAAACTTTTAGTTAGGTGGACAGCAAACTGGTCAACAAAACTTGTAGTTAGGTGGACAGCAAACTGATCAACAAAACTGGTAGTTAGGTGGACAGCAAACTGATCAACAAAACTTGTAGTTAGGTGGACAGCAAACTGGTCAACAAAACTGGTAGTTAGGTGGACAGCAAACTGATCACTCCTACTGGTAGGGGTCAAGTCTTACGCTGCAGTTCTATTGCTGTTGACGCTTCATAATTTGAGGCCATGGACAGCCCTAGAAATAGTAACCTAACTTTCGTATTTTTTTTAATTAATCAGTTTTAATCCATTTCAAGTTTTTCTTTTCACACAGAAACAAATGGGTTTATTTGAGGATGGGAAGTAAAGAAAGTTGTCCGATCACTACAATAAATAAGGACGCGGTGAATATTTTACCCTGTGTTCCAGGTACAGTTTATAATTAGATCAATGTATCATTAAATCATACAGTTTCTCGTCTGCTAAATAAAATATACCCTCCTTAACATGTGTGGTCACAAAGGTTCTGGTGTAATAATATTGTTTTCGCGGTAATAGTCAAGAACTTGTTGCAAATCTTCCTAATTTTTGGAGGGTAGGCCTATTTAACATTTAAAAAAAATGAGACTGTTGCGAAGGTATTAATGATTAAATTTTTACTGAGCTCAGTTTTGTTGAGACAGATCAATGTTGTTTTTTACATCCCATCTTCTGAGTAGCCCTATACGTTAAGAAAGAAAACACAGATCAGCATGTCGTGCATACACCTCGCAATTGTTATTTATCATATCCGATAAGGGTAATCAGTGTCTCTTCCAGACTTCTTCACCGGGGGGGGGCCTTGATAATTTCATGGTGGGGGGGAGCGGACATTTTCCGGGGGGGGGGGGGGGGGGGGTGGACACTGGTAAAAGTATGTTCTATATACATTTCATCACGTTCGGGGTAAGGGACGGTAACCTTTCTTAAGGGGGGGGGGACGCCCCAAAGAGATGCCTGGAAGAAACTGGTGGTAATTTAATTACAGGAGTTATGCCAGGATAAAGGATAATTTCCATTATTCGACATATTTTAAACACTTATTTAGACTTATATATATATATATATATATATATATATATATATATATATATATATATATACCATAGCTACATCTTCCATAAAAGAAGCGCAAGGTTGCAGACCTGATTTTGAAAGTGTAAACAAACGACTAACGTTGGAAATGAGTGAAGATATGGTGAGTCTGTATATGGATTTAAATAAATAAAATATGAACAGCTGTGCACAACAAATGTATGCACATTCCATTTATAGACCATCCGGGAGGTTGAAAGCACTGTTGACACGGTACTAGCCTATATGTACGGTATAAATAGCCGCCTAGAAACGTGCCAACAATGTTGTTATATTTATAAATACATAATGGAAATTCTTCAAATATGTTTTGGTAAGGTTCAATACCGAGTTGAAGAATCGAGGAGATTATTCGAATTCTAAACCTAGATTGCAAATGAAAAGGCGTATTTACATTGATATTTTGAGGATCGAACTCGGCTCGACCTGAACAAGAGCGATCATTTATTGTCTTCAGTGCGTTCTAGTAATGATCGTTTTGATCTCCCTTTAGTGTATTACAAATGGTGGTAGAGTCTTTCGTGTACGTACTGGAGAGGATTGGTGATTGGCTATAGTTATCAGATTGTGGTGTATTAATAGAGCGTCATATATTGATGTTTTTTTTTTCTTTTTACCCACTGTTCATATTTAAATATAGATTTCCACTCCATGACAAGAAAAACTGACCTGTAATGTCCACTCCATGACAAGAATAACTGACCTGTAATGTCAACTAGATTACAAGAACAACTAACCTGTAATGTCTACTAGATGACACGAATAACGACCAATAAAATCTAGTCATTTTCAGGTCACGTCCCACTCCGCATAAAAATAATTTTCAGTTTTATTTTTTCGAACAAAATCCTCTTAAATTCTGTAATTATTTTACTCTGAAAATGTTTTCTACGATATTTTATTCACGCAATGTATGTCCTGATATTTTTTGTCTTGAAATATTTTGTCCTTGAGATCACTTGTCTTAGAGATAATTCGTCCTGTAATTTAGTGTTTAGGAATAATTTTTACTTGAAACACTTTGACTGGGATATTTTATCAGAGATCATTTGTCATGGGACATTTAAGACGTTACGTATCACCTAATATTAATAGCACAGAAACAAACTAAATTTTTAAAACATATCACTAGTTACACGAAGGGTTTAGTAAAGGGGTATAAGGGTAGAGGGCGCCAATGTTAACTCAAAAAACCGAGGTTTAGTAGGCCTACCGGGTTCGAGTTCAAAACTTGCAATACGTCACACAGGTGAAGCATGACATGCAAGTCAGTCATGCAAACAACCACCCAGGTGAAGCATGACATGCAAGTCAGTCATGCAAACGTCACCCAGGTAAAGCATGACATGCAAGTCAGTCATGCAAACAACCACCTAGATGAAGCATGACATGCAAGTCAGTCATGCAAACAAACACCCAGGTGAAGCTTGACATGCAAGTCAGTCATGCAAAGAACCACCCAGGTGAAGCATGACATAAAAGTCAGTATGCAAAAAACCACCCACGTAAAGTATGACTCACAAGTCAGTCATGCAAACAAACACCTGGGTGAAGTATGACTGTCTACTCAAGTACTATTGGTAGGAGTGCTCATCACAGTTGATATCTGGATTCTACATCCTGTTTGGTGTGGGGGTTTCCTCTTTTCACGTGAATCACTGGAACAAAAGACTGCAAAATGTTTCTGATGTAAAACGTTTTTTTAAGCATTACAATGTGTTCTTTTCTTTCTTTCTCTAGCTGAGAACTTGCACACCATTGGATCCCATGATTAACGTCCTATTAATTGGAAAATCTGGAAATGGCAAAAGTGCGACAGCCAATACCATCGTAGGGCACAGAAGGTTTTCTAACAGATCTAGTGGATCTTGTTCAACTCAAAAAGTTGACTACCATATTGCGGAGTACGAAGGCCACCTTATCAAAGTAGTCGACGGTCTGTCAGTTTGTAACACCAGACTGGATAATGAACGGTCAATAGGGGAGTTAATCGATGCCACAAAGGTGGCTCTGGCAGTGAACCCTGAAGGCTATCATGCCTTCCTTTTTGTGCTGAAATACGGCAATAGGTTCACATACGAAGAGCAGGTCACAGTTCAGGTTTTAAAGAAAATATTCGGGGACAATTTTGTTCGAGATTTCGGCATTTTAATCATCACTTGCGGGGACATCTTCCAGCAAGAACAGGACGCCAAAGACTTTGAAGCTTTAATCTTCAACGAGTGGTGCCAAAGTCAAGATGGCGCATTTAGGGATTTCATGAATGAATTCGAAGGCAGGATTCTCTTATTCGACAATACATACCGCTTTGACGTGGACATAGACAATCCTGTTGACGATTTGATTTCAACGATTGAGAGGTTACTCTACAAACGAACGTATGACCTTTCAGAGAGAATTCAGCAAATCAACGATACTATTGTAACCGAGCTAAAGAAGCTCTTGATAACTGGCGAGGCTACATTAGAAGAAGCCAGTGCAACCGTTGATCAGCCGCAACCCACACACGGCTCTAATGAGACGGAAGTCCTAGCACCCAGTGACAAGATTTCACCTCGAACTAAGACTGACCAGGAAATACTGGCCAAGCAGGAAGAACTCACTAAAGCCTTGGAATCTCTGGAGAAGAAGTTTTCTGATGAAAGCGCTTTCTCTGTTAGATATATTGAAGAAATGAAAACCAACTTTGAAAAAGAGCTGAAAAATCAGAGAGAAAAATATGAAAATCTTATAGAAGAGCTGAAACACGATCAACAAAAGAGATTTGATGATATAAATAGAAGAATGCAAGAGACAGCCACCCAAGAAGGATCATAGTTTATGGCAAACGTAAGGAAAAACATTAAAAAAAATTAAAACATCAAATAAAAAATAAACGATAAACCCTGAAGCAATAAGCGTGAAGCGCACTGAAAACGTACAAAGCAACTTTGTTCCTGAAATGCCATTAGCGCCATATAATCTAACATTATGGGGACTGATATCCCGAACAGTTGCTAGTTTGAATGACATGGTATTCATCCATTATTGTCAATTAACTTAACTTAATTTCAAACTAAAATAATTAAACTGATCGCCTGCGTGGTGTCGTGTTTCTGTTTTTTAATTAATTTTTTTAAGAGTTCGTTTTGAAAAAATGTAAATCAAATGATGTGGTCTGGTGTACAAGATTCCATGTTCGACAAGATAAAAGCGGTTTCAACTTTCTGTAAAAGAATGAAGGCGATATTCGGCTAATAATTTTTTCAGAGGTGATAGCAAGGCGGATCTTCATTGGACATTTCAAAAGTATGAATCTTTTATTAGATGTTTTTAATATCCAGAACAACCACCTTACATCAGTTTAGCCATCAGTGAAAAGTTTCAACTTTCCGATTTTTTTTTCAACTTTTTGTATTTCATATTAAAATACCTTGGTTATTTTAAGAAATGTAACATTCTAAAAAGGAACAGAGTGGCCTAGCGGTAGAGAGCTAGACTGCTAACCCGTAAGTCACGAGTTTGAATCAGGGTTCAAGTCAGTAGATCGTCACTGAGTCAATTCAGCTCTGATGAGTACCTAACTCACGTTAGGGAAAGTAAAGGCGGCTGGGCATAGAGCTGACCACACTATCCCTTCATATGCCAAGTTCACAGAAACAGGTGACTACTATCTCACTAGTCCCAAAGACCGTCAGGTTTGGAATGGGAACTTTATCATTCTTAAACTTAAATATTTTTTCTGTCACAAACAGTTGAAAAGTTTTTAGCATTAGTTTTTTTTATGTCCTTTTTGGAGAAATATGCATGTCCTCGTATAAAGTATGACAAGCCATAGCGTAGACCATAAGTAAATTATGTGCCATAGCATTATGCTAAAACAAAAAAAGGGGAGAGAAATGACCAGAGATAGACCTTGCTACCAACGAATACCCACATTATTTGATACAGTGTATTTAAACATGTGTCAGTCCACAATGTAATGATAATAAAACATGGGGTTGGCACAAGGTAATGATATGAATAGCTAATAGGCTAGAACACATCAAAGGCACAAGGTAATGATATGAATAACTAATAGGCTAGAACACATCAAAGGCACAAGGTAATGATATGAATAACTAATTGGCTAGAACACATTAAAGGCACAAGGTAATGATATGAATAACTAATAGGCTAGAACACATCAAAGGCACAAGGTAATGATATGAATAACTAATAGGCTAGAACACATCAAAGGCACAAGGTAATGATATGAATAACTAATAGGCTAGAACACATCAAAGGCACAAGGTAATGATATGAATAACTAATTGGCTAGAACACATCAAAGGCACAAGGTAATGATATGAATAACTAATAGGCTAGAACACATCAAAGGCACAAGGTAATGATATGAATAACTAATAGGCTAGAACACATCAAAGGCACAAGGTAATGATATGAATAACTAATTGGCTAGAACACATCAAAGGCACAAGGTAATGATATGAATAACTAATAGGCTAGAACACATCAAAGGCACAAGGTAATGATATGAATAACTAATAGGCTAGAACACATCAAAGGCCAAACAAATGTAGCAGAACGAGCCTAGCTACCAGTAACCAAACCACACTGTCTGGTACTGTGTACTGGAGCCAGCTTGGTGTCTGGTAGTCTGGAATATCACGTTTTCAACTGCAGGTACAGAGAACTGAAACCAAATATTGAAATATTTTTCTAGATTCTGGTGCAGGAGAGAGTGGCATCTTCCCCATATCTCATTAGTTCCCCAACCAAGTTAACCTCATCTCTCATTAGTTCCCCAACCAAGTTAACCTCATCTCTCATTAGTTCCCCAACCAAACTATCACATATCTCATTAGTTCCCCAACCAAACTAACCTCATCTTTCATTAGTTCCCCAACCAAACTAACCCCATCTCTCATTAGTTCCCCAACCAAGTTAACCTCATCTCTCATTAGTTCCCCAACCAAACTATCACATATCTCATTAGTTCCCCAACCAAACTAACCTCATCTTTCATTAGTTCCCCAACCAAACTAACCCATCTCTCATTAGTTCCCCAACCAAGATAACCTCATCTCTCATTAGTTCCCCAACCAAGCTAACCCCATCTCTCATTAGTTCCCCAACCGAGCTATCACATATCTCATTAGTTCCCCACCCAAACTAACCTCATCTTTCATTAGTTCCTCAACCAAAAAAACCAATCTCTCATTAGTTCCCCAACCAAGTTAACCTCATCTCTCATTAGTTCTCAAACTAAGCTATCCCATATCTCATTTGTTCCCCAACCAAGCTATCCCATATCTCATTAGTTCCCCAACCAAACTAACCTCATCTTTCATTAGTTCCCCAACCAAACTAACCCCATCTCTCATTAGTTCCCCAACCAAACTAACCCCAACTCTCATTAGTTCCCCAACCAAACTAACCTCATCTCTCATTAGTTCCCCAACCAAACAAACCCATCTCTCATTAGTTCCCCAACCAAGCTAACCCCATCTCTCATTAGTTCCCCAACCAAGCTAACCCCATCTCTCATTAGTTCCCCAACCAAACTAACCTCATCTCTCATTAGTTCCCCAACCAAACAAACCCATCTCTCATTAGTTCCCCAACCAAACTAACTTCATCTCTCATTAGTTCCCCAACCAAGCTAACCCCATCTCTCATTAGTTCCCCAACCAAGCTATCCCATATCTCATTAGTTCCCCAACCAAACAAACCCATCTCTCATTAATTCCCCAACCAAACTAACTTCATCTCTCATTAGTTCTCCAACCAAGCTAACCCCATCTCTCATTAGTTCCCCAACCAAGTTAACCTCATCTCTAATTTGTTCCCCAACCAAGCTAACCCCATCTCTCATTAGTTCCCCAACCAAGTTAACCTCATCTCTCATTAGTTCCCCAACCAAACTAACCTCATCTCTCATTAGTTCCCCAACCAAACAAACCCATCTCTCATTAGTTCCCCAACCAAACTAACCCCATCTCTCATTAGTTCCCCAACCAAACTAAACCCATCTCTCATTAGTTCTCCAACTAAGCTATCCCATATCTCATTAGTTCCCCAATCAAACTAACCCCATCTCTCATTAGTTCCCCAACCAAACTAACCTCATCTCTCATTAGTTCCCCAACCAAACAAACCCATCTCTCATTAGTTCCCCAACCAAACTAACTTCATCTCTCATTAGTTCCCCAACCAAGCTAACCCCATCTCTCATTAGTTCCCCAACCAAGTTAACCTCATCTCTAATTTGTTCCCCAACCAAGCTAACCCCATCTCTCATTAGTTCCCCAACCAAGTTAACCTCATCTCTCATTAGTTCCCCAACCAAACTAACCTCATCTCTCATTAGTTCCCCAACCAAACAAACCCATCTCTCATTAGTTCCCCAACCAAACTAACCCCATCTCTCATTAGTTCCCCAACCAAACTAACCCCATCTCTCATTAGTTCTCCAACTAAGCTATCCCATATCTCATTAGTTCCCCAATCAAACTAACCCCATCTCTCATTAGTTCCCCAACCAAACTAACCCCAACTCTCATTAGTTCCCCAACCAAACTAACCTCATCTCTCATTAGTTCCCCAACCAAACAAACCCATCTCTCATTAGTTCCTCAACCAAACTAACCCCATCTCTCATTAGTTCCCCAACCAAACTAACCCCATCTCTCATTAGTTCCCCAACCAAACTAACCCCATCTCTCATTAGTTCCCCAACCAAACTAACCCCATGTCTCATTAGTTCCCAAACCAAGGTAAGCCCATCTTTCATTAGTTCCCCAACCAAAGCTAACCCCATCTTTCATTAGTTCCCCAACCAAACTAACCCCATCTCTCATTAGTTCCCCAACCAAACTAACCCCATGTCTCATTAGTTCCCCAAACCAAACTAACCCCATCTCTCATTAGTTCCCCAACCAAACTAACCCCATCTCTCATTAGTTCCCCAACCAAACTAACCCCATCTCTCATTAGTTCCCCAACCAAACTAACCCCATGTCTCATTAGTTCCCAAACCAAGGTAAGCCCATCTTTCATTAGTTCCCCAACCAAAGCTAACCCCATCTTTCATTAGTTCCCCAACCAAACTAACCCCATCTCTCATTAGTTCCCCAACCAAACTAACCCCATGTCTCATTAGTTCCCAAACCAAGGTAAGCCCATCTTTCATTAGTTCCCCAACCAAAGCTAACCCCATCTTTCATTAGTTCCCCAACCAAGCGACCCCGTATGCTATATCCAAAACACCACACAACAGCAATGTAAACCACACTTTTCAAGTGAAGAACATGATAAATATGGGGAACAATAGTCTAGGAAAAAAACTCTCTAAAATTGTTTGAAATAGCCAAGTTTTTACGTGTTATTTCCACACCACATAAAAATGTCTGTAAATTTAAAATATCACGATAGTAATGAATAGGCTAATTAACTTTTTAACACATAAACACCAAATTCACAGTTTCTTGTTTAGGAAAGTGTAAGATTGCGCACCACGATCAAAAAAATTAACCACCATTTTCGCATGGAGGGTGACAAAACTGAGCAATTTACATCCTCTTGCTTTTTGACACTGCAATTTCCGCCTTAAAGAGAATTATTTTTTACTGATCTACGTTCAATTATCAGCACTTCAAAGTGTAACCTACAGGCCATAGTGGTAAAAAAATACCACGATATTTACCATTATGAGTTTGATGATCAACTACAATCATGTTACATACAACAACCTAATTTTCCATGCAGATCTGGACCTCTAAGCTAAGAGAAGAGCCAGTAGCATACTTGTACTGAAGTCTCTGCTCAGTAGGTCATAATGCCTATCTTTAACTGTCTATTGATCCATTGCATAGACTAAGTGTACTACAGTCATCCCTCACTTATCACACTTCATAGAAACAAGAACTGGCCTCTATATGTGAAAGCCCGCGAAGTTGTGTTACCCTTTCATTGTCTACTTAAGCACAGGTACAGTGTATGTAAATTATCAATAAGTGTAAATTAAACCATACACGTGCATATCAGTGGCGTAGCGAGGTTGGGTGTCACCCGGTGCGGCACTTAATGGTGTCATCCCCTATCAAATTTCGATTTGCCCCCCTCCCCCATCAAACTTTCGATTTGCACCTCTTAAAAGACATTTAACACTCGAATTAATCACTTAATTTAGTGGAATTATCATTTTTCTCTATATATTTCGCTATTTTTCGCCTTGGTGTCACCCCCCTAAGTGGTGTCACCCGGTGCGGTCCGCACCCCCCTGCCCCCCCCCCCCCCCCTCGCTACGCCCCTGGTGCATATATAATCATCTTGATCATCATTATCATGCACTTACTATATATGAAGAAATGAGTTTCGATTTTCAACTAGCTTTAAGCAGAACGTTTACATTTGTTTTTTTACAAAGGTGTGTAGGGCACCGTTTACAATTAGATTAGTATGTCCATATATATATATATATATATATATATATATATATATATATATATATATATATATATATATATAGTGATAACGATTTGGCTAAGCCTTTACTTTTAGCCTTTACTGAAAAGTGCAAATAAATAAACCGGTAGTAATCTCCCCTAAACTTTCTCGAATATTCTTATATAAAACAACAGGGGATGGTAACTGGGGATATAGTTATGATCTTTAATCCATTTTAAATACTAAAACTTTTAAAAATAGAATAGAATCTCAGTAAAAAACAATTGCGCACCAAGCGAACGCCTAATAAAGGTGTGTATAATAGTGCGCAATAGTATTAGTACTTTATAAATTTACATTAGTTTTTTGAGAAATCGGAAGTAGCGTAAAGTACTACTTCCGGTCAACGGAAATTACTCAAAATTTAACAGAAGGTAGAGAATTAGATCTTTTACTTACATGTGAAATTTCATTTATCTATCTGAAATAGTACTCAAGTTATAGGCTTTTGAAAAATTCAAAGTAGAAAAAGTACCACTTCCGGTTATCCGAAATCGCTCAAAAGTTGATACGGATCTACGATTTTGATATAATACTTGTAAATGAAATTTCATCAACCTAGCTGTAACGGTACTCAAGTTATCGTGTTTACACACGGACACACACACACACACACGGACACACAGACATACGGACAAGATTGCAAAATTATGTTTTTCCGTATCAGTGAGATGTAAAACGTTTAGATTTGCAAAAATCTCGATTTTTTTTTTTTTGCACGATTACAAGACTTTCTCTATACTTCGTATATACGAGAAAGTAAAAAGCTTCACTATAACTCTTTACTATTCGCGTTTAGTATTGCGCACCATGTTTAGAAAATCAGGCACCGTTTCCGCATCGATTATTTAAAAGTTGACAAATTTACATCGTCCTGTTCAACGACAGAGATTTTTAGAAAATAGTTTTTAACTTAGAATATTTCAATTGAATGGTTTTCAAAGCTGAATCCAAATGATAATGTGGTAAGAAACAAAATAGAATTTAGATCTAGAACGTCATGTAGCATTAATAATTTATTGATAAAACACAATTTTATGTACGACAATCGTATAGATTATATGCTTAAATATCGCAAAAAATTAGAGCCATTCATTATAGATTACATCTCATCTAGAATCTAGTTCCGGATATATAATAATATGTATATATATATATATATATATATATATATATATATATATATATATATATATATATATATATATATATATATATCGATCACTCCTACTGGTAGGTGGTAAAGTAATACGTTGACCACTGAGAGCGGGTGGGTATCTTTAAAGCTTGTGAAGGTGCTCTATGTGTGTAGTCGACTGGTCGAGTTGAAGCAAATGTATGGTATCATTTCTAATTTTATATCTTGACAGTATCAAATACGAACGGTTCGCTGAGTTTTGAAATGTAAATTGCTTTGATTTATAATTTAAAATTCGATCAATTGCTCTAGTAAACGGCGTGGCCGGATGGTAGAGTGAACGACTTTTAACCCTTAAAAAACGTCTTACGAACGTGGGTTCTTGTCGTAGGACATTAGAGAAAGTTGATTCAGCCAGTTCTACTGCTGTTTACACTTCATGATCTGAGGTCATGGACCGCCATAGCAATTGTAACCTTACTTTCGTTTTATTAAATTACTCAGTGTTGACCTATTTCAAGTTTTTCTTTTCATTCAGAAACCAATGGGTTTATTTGTGGATGGGAAGTAGCGAAAGTAGTCCCGTCACTACAATCAATAAGGACACGGTGAATATTTTACCCAATTTTCCAGGTACAGTTTACAATAAGATCAATGTATCATTAAATCTTACACAAAATCCCATTTAACTACTGCATAAAAATACGTTCTTAAACATATGTAATCGCACACTTACCGGTTAATGGAGCGGGTGCTGTGTAGGAAAATGTTAACGATGCTCCAGAGTTTTCAAGGGTATGTCGCATTTTAAATATCAAACTATTGCAAACTATAAGAAATGTACCATTGTTCACATTCCTACTGAGCTTAGTTTTGTTGAGACGGATCAATATTGTTTCGTACATCCCATCTTCTGAGTAGTTCTATACATTAAGAAATAAAAACACAGAACAGCTAGTCAGGTACACACAACAACCCTGTCATTTATGATATCCCATTGAGGTCCTTTGTTTACATGAGGGTTGGGGTAATTTGCTGCTACGTTAGGCTATTCGACATACCTTTATAAACACGAATATATATATATATATATATATATATATATATATATATATATATATATATATATATATATATATATTCTATAACTACATCTCTCATCAAAAAAGGACCACCAGTTTGCAATATTTGTTTTGAAAGTGTTACAGAACGAATCATTGTGGAAAGAAGAGAAGAAATGGTGAGTCGGTTTAATTTGAGCAGCTGTGCACAACAACATAATATGTAAATTACATTTTAAGAAGTTAACTGACCTGTAATGTCCACTTGATGACACGATTAACTGACCTGTAATGTCCACTTGATGACACGATTAACTGACCTGTAATGTCCACTTGATGACACGATTAACTGACCTGTAATGTCCACTTGATGACACGATTACCTGACCTGTAATGTCCACTTGATGACACGATTAACTGACCTGTAATGTCCACTTGATGACACGATTACCTGACCTGTAATGTCCACTTGATGACACGATTAACTGACCTGTAATGTCCACTTGATGACACGATTACCTGACCTGTAATGTCCACTTGATGACACGATTAACTGACCTGTAATGTCCACTTGATGATAATGATAACTGACCTGTAATGTCCACTCAACGACACGATTAACTGACCTAAAAAACGTAGTCATTGGCATATTACGTCCCACTCCGCCTGAAAATATTTATTCAATTAAACTTTTTCGACAAAATAATCCTAAATATTGTAATTATTTTAACGTAAAATATTTTAAAATATGTGTCCATATGTTTGGTTCAATATATTTTATTCTGAGATCTTTTGTCCGTGAAAAAGGTTATTACCTGGGTTAGCGTTCCCCTTCTTGTAAACATGGTATGAGGGTTGATGGCGCTAATGTTGACTCGAAATACCCAGGTTATTACCTGGGTTAGTGCGCACAACAGAGTCGATTTCTGGATTCTACATTATGTTTGATGTGGCTTTTTCTCGTTTAGAGAATATCATGACTCACTTGAACAATAGACAATAAAATATTTATTTTATATAAACAGTGTTTATAGTTTATAAGCAGCTATATGTTGTTTTTTCTGTCTAGTCGAGAGCAAACACTCCATGGACGCCAAGAATTAACATTTTGCTGATCGGAAAAACTGGGAATGGCAAAAGTTCGACAGCCAATACCATAGTAGGAAACAGAAGGTTTCCAGATCTGTCTTGTGCATCTCTCGCAAAGCAAAACATTGACTACCATATTAGAGAGTACAAAGGGCGTCGTATAAAAGTCGTGGATGGTCTGACAATTTGTGATACCAAACTCGACAAAGAACAGTCAGTTAAACAGATGATTGAGGACACGCAATTGGCACTGGCAGCCAATCCTGAAGGCTATCATGCCTTCCTTCTCGTCCTGAAATACGGTAATAGGTTTACACGTGAAGAACAAGAAACGGTTCATATTTTAAAGAAAATATTCGGGGAAAATTTTGTTCGAGATTATTGCATTTTAATCATCACTGGCGGGGATGTTTTTCATGCAGAAATGAAGGCCAGTGGCATTTTCGGATATACCTTCATAGAGTGGTGCAGTTTTCAAGAAGGCGCCTTTAAGGATTTGCTTGATGAATGCCAACACAGGGTAATGGTAGTTGACAACACATGCTCCTATAAGGACGCAGGACATTATGTTGATATGTTGATGATGTTCATTGAGGAGTTACTCTGCAATCGAAAGTACGATCTGTCTAAAAGATTTGAGGAAATTAAAGACACCATTGTAATCGAGCTGACGAATCTGAAAACAACCGATGAGTCCGCTACAGAAGAGGAAAGTCCTATGGCTGATCTGTTACAAGTCTCACACGGCACTAGCGAGACGAAAGAATTACCACGTGACAAGATTCTGGGTCACAATAACACAGTACATGAAATACTGGCTAAACAGGAAGAATTATCAGGAGGTTTTCGAGAACTAGCTCAAACCTTGGAGTCTCTACAAAAACAGGTTTCTGATGAAAGCGCTTTCTCTCGCAAGTGTATTGAAGAAATGCAACTAAGTCGACAACATGAAGAAGAAATGAAAATTAACTTTGAAACACAGCTAAAAAATCAAAAAGAGTATTATGAAAACCTGATTGTCGATATGAAACAAAAGCATTAAAAGAGCAATGCAGATTTAGAAAAAATAATAGAAGACTTCATTACTCACACAAGTGAACATAGGTAATGGGACAAGAAAAACAAACAGCGTGAGAAAAGTTGGAAAACGCGAAGCAAGCAGAGAAAGGAAGGTATTAAGCGGCTGGAAAATATACAAAGACATTTTTTCTAGAATTGTATTAGGGCATTTAAAATCTACCATCTTGTGCACAGTAATGCCGAACCGTGTTTTGCATTATCTAATTTTACATCTGAAATAAATAAAGTAATTACCTGCATATTATTGTCTTATGTTGACAATTTTCCAATTATTTAATGTTCTATGTTTTTAGAGTTTGTTGCGTTTTGATTTAGTGCATATTTAATTATGTAGGCCTACTCTCAAGTACTTGACTGTTGATTTGAAAATATAAAAATGGTTACTTTACTCTATACAACAAGCCATGGGTACCCGTTTCACGTGCATTATAGGTATATATATTTAATGTTATATTTGTTTGGAAAAAATATATAAAGTAAACATTTTGTTTAAATTCAATTTGCTTTACTACACGTCAAAAGATATTAGTGACAAAACAAAGAATTAACTAAATAGCTAAAACTCCGACACATTTAAAATAACATAGACCACCAATATATTATTATACATTATTAGTCAACACAACACCATATTAAATGCACACAGCTATCATTGACAATCAACAGAAAAATGGTTCCGTTAAAAACTCGGCCGTTCAATGGTATTTATGTTGTTTTTTAAAGTAATTTGTATTACTTTTGGCCGAGAAAATTGTATACATTTTATAGCGACCGTGTTGATAAGTAGATCTATATTTCTAAATCAAATTTGAATGAAATAGTTCATTTTTTCATAATCTAAAATTTGAAGATAAAACCATTAGTTTTGTGTTCTTTCCTTATATTAACAATGAAAATAAACTATTTAGTTAACCGGTCTAGTTTAAAACAAGAGAGCGTGGTCGCATGTTAGAGTGATGGCCTGCTAACCGAAAGACTAGAGTTCGGACTGTGGGCTTATGTTCACAGGACGTCTTTAAGTCTACCCACCTTTGATGGGACGGAGTGGTCTAGCGGTAGAGAGCTGGACTGCTTACCCGAAAGACTAGAATTCGGACTGTGGGGTTATGTTCACATGACGTCGTAAGCCTACCCACCTTTGATGGCACCTCAAAAGTTGCTGCGGCGGGGCAAAGCGCTGAGCATAGCATCCATTCATAATCTGCGCCCGAAAAGCCAGGTGAACTCTACTTCATCCATCGCATGGACTGCCATGGAAATGGTAACTTTATTTTTGTTTATTTAATTTAAATAGTTTTGGTTACTAAAAGTGTTTTTCTTGTCATACAGGAACACACGAATCATGGGAATCTCCATTACTTACACTAGCGATTCCATCAATATATGTGGTTTATCAAATGACCGAAACTGTTGTAAACATATACAGGCTTACATACGGTTTATCAAATGCTAAATTATTTTGTATTGTACTTCAAATTTTGGAACTTCTTTGTGCAAAATCTTAAAGTAGGCTATTAATAAATAGCTATGAATTTATAAATAAACGGTTGACCTACTACTTTAAGAAACTAATTGCTTAGAAACCTATACAAAACCTTGCACACCACAAATACGTAACCTTGCTAGAGTTTAAACACCACAGATAAAATATATCATTGTTCACTTTTTACCATGCGCACCGTGTACAAAAACCCGTCACACCAATTCCGCATCAAGTGTTGGAAAGTTGACATAATTACATAGTCCTTCTTAAGGACAAAATTTGATATCAAGGACAATAATCTTTACTAATATTACTTGTATCGAAACGTTTTTTTCGAATTGGAGTCTAAAAAGATAAATTAAGAAGGTAAATGTAAAAAGTGAATCTTAAACATCATTTACGCTTGTGAATTTAAGGTTTAAATTCTATTTTATATACGACAATCTAATAACTATAAAAATAAATATCGAAAAGCTAGTAGATCTAGATCTAGATCTAGATCTAGATTCTAGATCTAGTGTAGGACACTTCTTGGTAGTTGAATACGCAGACACTGAATAAAGTTTATTTACCAAATATACCAAATATACATAATATTCAATTAAAACAAAAAAAATTTATAAGTTGAAAGTAACTTTTAGTTGACAATATGATTGTAGTTTTAATATAATCGACAATACATTTTACTTAACAAATGGGTTGCTTGGTGAAGGAATGTAGCTGTACGTTATAAGTAGTAATTTAAGCATGTCTTATTTTTGTCTCATACCATTTATATCCACAATCATTACAATGTTTTATATTTAGCCTGTTGAAATACATTAAATAAAAACATGCTTTTTCAATGTTATGTTTGCAGTATTCAAAGACATTTTTTTCTGAACCGTTTAAGGAAGTACGCCGACCATAGGGTCATATTGTGGAGGAAAGTGGGAAGAATAATCACCATATTGGGGGGGGGGGGGGAGGGGGATAAAATATTGACCAAATGGGGGGGGGGAAGAATGTCGATCATATTGAGATAGAGGTTGGTAGTACAGGTTTAATCACATGGTCCTACAGTGGGTGGGGGGGGGGGGGGGGGGGTCTGCATGAATTCTGTTGGAATAAAGTAAAAAGTGTATCTGTTGACTGAATGTTAGGGACAGGACAGAAAGGTGATCACATACTCCTGCTGGTAGAGATGTCAAGTTGTATGTTGACCACTGGTCGCTGGTAGAGATGACAAGTTGTATGTTGACCACTGGTCGTTTGTAGAGATGTCAAGTTGTATGTTGACCACTGACCGCTTGTAGAGATGTCAAGTTGTATGTTGACCACTGGTCGCTGGTAGAGATGTCAAGTTGTATGTTGACCACTGGTCGCTGGTAGAGATGTCACGTTGTATGTTGGCCACTGGTCGTTTGTAGAGATGTCAAGTTGTATGTTGACCACTGGTCGAAGGTAAAGATGTCAAGTTGTATGTTGACCACTGGTCGCTGGTAGAGATGTCAAGTTGTATGTTGACCACTGGTCGAAGGTAAAGATGTCAAGTTGTATGTTGACCACTGGTCGCTGGTAGAGATGTCAAGTTGTATGTTGACCACTGGTCGATTGTAGAGATGTCAAGTTGTATGTTGACCACTGACCGCTTGTAGAGATGTCAAGTTGTATGTTGACCACTGGTCGAAGGTAAAGATGTCAAGTTGTATGTTGACCACTGGTCGCTGGTAGAGATGTCAAGTTGTATGTTGACCACTGGTCGATTGTAGAGATGTCAAGTTGTATGTTGACCACTGGTCGCTTGTAGAGATGTCAAGTTGTATGTTGACCACTGGTCGATTGTAGAGATGACAAGTTGTATGTTGACCACTGGTCGCTGGTAGAGATGTCAAGTTGTATGTTGACCACTGGTCGCTGGTAGAGATGTCAAGTATGTTGACCACTGGTCGCTTGTAGAGATGTCAAGTTGTATGTTGACCACTGGTCGCTTGTAGAGATGTCAAGTTCTATGTTGACCACTGACCGCTGGTAGAGATGTCAAGTTGTATGTTGACCACTGGTCGATTGTAGAGATGTCAAGTTGTATGTTGACCACTGGTCGATTGTAGAGATGTCAAGTTGTATGTTGACCACTGGTCGCTTGTAGAGATGTCAAGTTCTATGTTGACCACTGACCGCTGGTAGAGATGTCAAGTTGTATGTTGACCACTGGTCGATTGTAGAGATGTCAAGTTGTATGTTGACCACTGGTCGTTTGTAGAGATGTCAAGTTGTATGTTGACCACTGGTCGATTGTAGAGATGTCAAGTTGTATGTTGACCACTGGTCGTTGGTAGAGATGTCAAGTTGTGTGTTGACCACTGACCGCTGGTAGAGATGTCAAGTTGAATGTTGACCACTGGTCGTTGGTAGAGATGTCAAGTTGTGTGTTGACCACTGACCGCTTGTAGAGATGTCAAGTTGTATGTTGACCACTGGTCGTTTGTAGAGATGACAAGTTGTATGTTGACCACTGGTCGTTTGTAGAGATGTCAAGTTCTATGTTGACCACTGGTGGCTTGTAGAGATGTCAAGTTGTATGTTGACCACTGGTGGCTTGTAGAGATGTCAAGTTGTATGTTGACCACTGGTCGCTTGTAGAGATGTCAAGTTGTATGTTGACCACTGGTCGCTGGTAGAGATGTCAAGTTGTATGTTGACCACTGGTCGTTGGTAGAGATGACAAGTTGTATGTTGATCACTGGTCGTTGGTAGAGATGACAAGTTGTATGTTGACCACTGGTCGCTTGTAGAGATGTCAAGTTGTATGTTGACCACTGACCGCTGGTAGAGATGACAAGTTGTATGTTGACCACTGGTCGTTTGTAGAGATGTCAAGTTGTATGTTGACCACTGGTCGCTGGTAGAGATGTCAAGTTGTATGTTGACCACTGGTCGATTGTAGAGATGTCAAGTTGTGTGTTGACCACTGGTCAGTTGTAGAGATGTCAAGTTGTATGTTGACCACTGGTCGCTGGTAGAGATGTCAAGTTGTATGTTGACCACTGGTCGTTGGTAGAGATGACAAGTTGTATGTTGATCACTGGTCGTTGGTAGAGATGACAAGTTGTATGTTGATCACTGACTTCTGGTAGAGGTATCAAATAGTACATTGGCCACTGACCTCTAGTAGAGGTATGGAGTAGTACATTTACCACTGACCGCTAGTAGAGGTGTAGAGTAATACATTGGCCATTGACTTCTGGTAGAGGTGTGGAGTAATATATTGACCATTGACCGCTAGTAGAGATATCAAATAGTACATTGATCACTGACTTCTAGTAGAGGTGTAGAGTAGTACATTGACCACTGACTTCTAGTAGAGGTGTGGAGTAGTACATTGACCACTGACCGCTGGTTGAGTAGTACATTGGCCACTGACCTCTAGTAGAGTTGTGGAGTAGTACATTGACCACTGACCGCTAGTAGAGGTGTAGAGTAGTACATTGGTCATTGACCGCTAGTAGAGATATCAAATAGTACATTGATCACTGACTTCTAGTAGAGGTGTAGAGTAGGACATTGACCACTGACTTCTAGTAGAGGTGTCAAATAGTACATTGACCACTGACTGCTGGATTGATCTGTTGACCACCTACTGTAGGTAGGATGTAATTCACCCGTGTCAAGATGCGCTATATTTGAGTGTAGAAAACGGGTTAATTTTAATGAAATGTAAAGTAGCTAACTTAATTCTATTTCTTGGCTCTAAACTATAAGCAATTAGCTGTAAAAAA